GTTGGGGATGCCTGCTCCCAGCCTTCGAACCTGAGTGGCGTCCCCGCACATCCGAATGGAATGAGTTCGGTCGAGTCAGAGACCCCGAACTGGGTCCTAACTCCGATCTCATTGGGCTTGTGGGAGGGCGGGTCATCAAAGGCATGTTAGAGTTAGAGTTACAGCACAGGGACATGAGCGACCACCGCTGCGCAGCCGGGCAAATCTGCATCGTTCGTGCCGCACATGTTGATGGACCCCGACCTGCGTTCACGGCATTGGGTTTGACCCAGGACTGCCGGTACCGGAGTGAAAAGTGGCATGGTCCATGCCCCACCTCGCCACATCACACATCGAAGACACCGGTGCCTCGTGCAAATTTCTCACGCATGCAGCTGTGGGGTCAGCTTGAAGCAGGGCCATGCAAACTAAGAGGCCAGCATAACCTGAGTGCAAAGGGCAGGCGGTCACGAGGATAGTGACTTCGGGCATACTACAGAGCGGCCAGAACACCAACAGTGCTGCCCAAAAGATCTCGCCCGGTCAAGAGCACCTCGGAGCTAGCGCGAAAGCGAGAGAGCGAGCGAGTTAGAGAGGTTGAGCAGGCGAGCACTCGATGCTCCTCCGAGGCCTCCGCCCGGTTGTCATTTTCGGGCAAGGAGCCTCTGCAGACTCAACAGAAATCCAGTTAGCTCTGTTCGCGCCTTGGAAGTCGGCCTGCAGCCATCTGCAAAGAGCCCCAGGTCAGGAACTCCTCTAGCAGCAAAGCCTCAGGCAAAATGAAACCAGACAAAGACATGGCTTTCAGGATCTCTGACAGTTCACAGCTTGTTAAAGTGCCGTCGAGCATCTTGGTCAGCCTGGTGAAAAATTGCAATCCACAGAGCACATAGTTTGTGGCATCTTTGCCCGCAGACTATGTGACAGGGCTGTCGGCGACGGAGCCTCCGCACTGTCCTGGAACTTCGACTGCCTGGGAATCAGATCGTCATCTTCGCCCTACAAAAGCCCATGAGGGGCCCAGGCCAGGGGTCTTCCTCCAGGAAAGTGTGCTGGCCAACCAAGACCACCTGTGCTGTGCAAACCACAAGCTCTGAGACAAAGCATGCGGGACACGCACAAAACCTGCTCAGCTGCTTGCGAGCACATCTAGATCTCTTGACTGCATCTTGCGAAAGGCGTGCCTGCACGGGGTAAGGGAAGGATCCAGCCGTGGGTGCTGCACCTTAGCTATCAGTGCCATTCCCACCCCAATGGTTTCCGTCCACCCGCAGGAAACCATAAAGTCAAGCAGGGAAGTGCAGTGGGATGCAGGAAGCCGGGGCACGGTATATTGTGGTGACCGCGTTGAGCATTGCGACTGTGTGGGCGGCAAGAGCTTGCAGCCCCGATTGCCCTCCGAAGGAACTGTACCGGGAAAAGTCGTTGACAGCCAGGACCTGGGCCACCGCAGATCCTTCTTCCGCTTAGTTGCTTGGTTGGTCTTCTCGTCAGCTTCAGCCACGCAAATCACATGACGTGCTTGTGGTTCCCTGTGGCTTGTGGGCAGTGCCGCTGCGACAGCAGTAGTTATAGTAGAAGTTGTATTGTAGTCGGTTCTAAAGTCATGTTATGGAGATGCCCCGTGTGTCAAAAACACGTGTCGGGAGGATGTTCAAGCAGGATACATCTCGAGGGCTGGAGTGACACGGTCACGCGTTACAACCAATGCAGCAGCATCCTGTGCGCCTCCTATCGCCTCCTTCTATATAAATGCGAAGTAGTCAGGGTTCGTACTTCCCCCAAATATACACTTTGTGTCTACAAGGCAATACATACTCCTTGAAGCCCTGGCAGCTCTGACGTAAACCTGCACTCCATCACCCGTAATCCACTCTCTGCAAAAAACTGTTCATTGTTCTAGTTGGCAAAGCTCCTCGCCCCTTCCGCGAGTATCACTCAGTAAGTGACGTAGCTGGAGCAGACCACCCGAATGCTCGGTAGCAGGCCTCCACATACTTTGTCGAGCTGCTAAGCCTGCAGTGCAGCTTCGCCTATACATGTCTGAGACTCCCGGACTTCTCATTGCCACGTGGGCCACTGCCCAGGGCCCAGAGAAAGCTACCAGATGCAAACGAAGCAAATGCAAATGGCGAGGTCATGTTTCCTCCTCCATTGGAGGCTGTGGTGGGATCTCATCTTTGGCGATGAAATCATGAAATCTTTCGTGGATGCTGGTCCCTCTTCGCTTATCGGCCTGGTCGAAAGGGGAAGGGCTCCTGTCCCTTTGCGGCGAGGGGAGGGCGACTCCACGCCCCAGGATGTCGATGACAGCTGCTCGAGGCTCCTCCCCCCATCCCATCCGATACCAATAAGTCTTAGAAAAATGAAAAAGATTGCATATGCGATGGGGCCATGGAGTTTTGCTGGGCGATTTAAGCGAAGGTGCATGATGATGCTCTATAAAGGCTCAGGCATGCGGCAGGCGCGTGCGGCGGCGGAAGCCGCCGTGTTCGTCGACTCATTCTGCAAGCATCACTCGCGCACGTCCGCCTCGTGAAGAATACATCCATCCATTTCAGTGGGCAAAGCCCTTTAATATGGCGGAGCCGTGCAGCGGACATGAATTCTAACGGCATCCAAGGTGCGCCCGACTGAGGGCTAGCCTGACAACGAAGGACGGCGCATGGACGAATGGAAGGGCCGTGGGCTAACCAGCGAGTCAGCCATCAAACTGAAATGCACATCTAGCTAGCTATAGGAAAGGCAGATCCACCCGCTGATCCCGCAAGATCACTGCCAGGAGTGATCCAAACGTGCCATACCCCGCGTTGCGCATGAGTCTGGGGTACTGGTCTCCTTGTGGAAATCGTATGTTCGTTGAGATTTTTTCAAATTCAGCTCAATGATTCGAGCTCTTCGAGCCCCTACATCCTCGCCGGGAATCTGCTTCGGCAGGTCAGCAGCCAGCACAACCATGGCCATTCATGATTCTTTGACGGCCCTGATCCTTTGCTTTCTCTCGCGATTTCGCCGCTTCAGAAACTCGAAGAGCAGCCGTCGGCCGTGAGGGCTTACACTCTTCGAACCCGAAGACTGTTTCAAATCGAGCTGGTGCCTTTCGGACACTGCTTCGAACTGCTCACGTGTGATCTTCATGGCGCGCGAGTCGCTGCGGTTTGGTGCTTTCCCCAATACAGGTAGCAATTGCAATCACTCTATGGAAAATAATCTGGAATGTATGTCAAAACATGTCGAGACGAAGCTCCGCACACGCATCGGGCCAAGACAGGTGGCCGGAGCCACTAAATATCAACACCCGAGCCGCCAAGTAGGACATTTCGGGAGGTGGGTATCTTTGTTTGAGTATCTTGTGGACATCGAGGTGGGGCATTCAACCTGCCAGTATGGAGTGATTGGCACAACTAAACAGACGAATGCGGCATGCACATATGTGGCCGCTGCTGTGGCTTCGAGAACGTCCAGAAGCGAGCAAGTCGGTCTCCTGCCTCCTTGTAGGGGATGAGCGCAGGAACCGTTGGACCTCATGCGATTCTCTATGCATTCGCCGAAACTGGGAGGAGGCAGCCAGGCCGGGACGGCGGCTAACTGCAGCTTCGGCTGGCCTTCGAGGGTGCGAAGCCAATGGCTGCCCTGGAAAGATGTTGGAGACCACAGGGTCAAGAGGACATGCAGCCTAGGTGTGTTCTAAGGTAAGTCCACGACGCTTCCTGTCAACTTCCTGCTCGATGCCTCTGCAGCCTCCCAGGAGCCACCAGCAAAGCAGAATCCTTAAATTCCTCGACGTCTTCTGGTGCGAGACCCTTCCACTCTGCCCTCGGGCTCGGACCTGCGCTGGGTCGAGCCGCAGCGTGTGGTTGTGCCGGAAGATCATGCCTAAGAGGGCAGAGGCCCCCGGCCCTGGCCGCCCTTTTTTGGCCTTACAGTAAATGCGCCCTAGCGTTGTCTGGGCATCTGACCCGAGAGACCACCCTCGCAGGTGGACAGGGCGACTCTGGAAGCTTCTCCGAGGACCTGCGTGCGCAAATGCCCTACGCACATTGCTCCTGGTTACTTCCGTGCTCGACCGCGTTGCGTTCGCGTGAGTCAACAAGAACGCAACGCATTGCGTTCGTCACTCAGAGCGGGGTGTGGCGCTTTGGCCGGCCGCTCTTCTGATGTAACCGGGCCTCTCCGATGTAGAAGCAGTTCTCGGGCAAAGGGATCGCCTGAGCACTGCTGCACTCAACCAGAGAACCAGTCTGCAGTCGAGGCATAGATTGCCAATGTGATGTCTTCTGGACTTCTGGAAGGGTTGCGCAAGTCTTTCAGTAACTCGCAAGAGAAACTACAGGTAGCAGTAGCTCGCTGGACCCCTCTGGGCACACGGCCTCCCTCCGGTCGCGGAAATGCAGAACCTACCCAGAAAGCGCCATGCTGCGGCGATCGAACAGCAAGCAGGCAGCAGCAAGCAAAGTTAAGGAGCCCACATGTTCGGCAGAAGTTGGGAGCAACTCGCGATTGTGCCACAGGTGTATTCGCAACGTCGATGCCGGGATTGACAGCTCTACTTCAAGTTCTGGCGCAGCTGTGCCTGGCATCGAGTCAACGCTCTGATTCGCTACCTCTGCCCCCAGTCCCCTGCCTGCATTGAGCCTTCGGCTCCACGTCACCCGGACCAGCTGGGCATCCTTGGGGAAAACCGCTGCTGGAAGATGCATCATTCTTTACAATGCCGCGCCAAGGCTCGTCAGACCGTGCAAGCACGAAGAGCCATGGAACCAGCGCCAGCAGCATGGCACATTAGCAAGTGTGACTCATATTACAGATTATGGCCAGTCTGCCATTTCCAGAGTCTCCAACTGCTGCGAAAACTTGAAGCCTCGTTGTGGTCTGCGAATCCATGACAGTTGTCGTTGATGGCTAACCGTTGTCTTGGTTACTGTACACTCAAATTCATGTGACATTCGAAGCTGCTGAGCCGGTCGCAGATTTGGGAGCCATCCCGCCAACCGCTCTGCACAACACTTGGTCACAGCGACCTGATCTATGGTCTCGTCGGTAAAGACCACTTGGGCTGCAGAAACTTGCATCCTCATCAAGGATTCGCTAATTGTGCCGTTTCTTCTGCTCCGAGTCCCGAATCGCTTGAGTCCCCGGCCCACCTTCCAGATGACACTGGAAGATGACGGCGAACGAGAAGCTGGACAGCACATGTTGGGTCCAAGTTTCTGCGCGTCTGGCTTACCTGGGCCTTCCCGACCCACCTGGGCAGCCACCAGGTTTCCCCCAAACTCTTGTACAAGCCTTCAGACACCTTGGCATACTGGGCGGCACAGAATGCGAGGCAGTGACCCCCTGCTCGAACGTCTTGCCTCCGCATGGAGGACCACCGGCAGCACTGCTGGCGACCTCTATAGCCAGCACGGCGTGACGAAGCCAGGCAAGGGCACGATCCTTCGTGAGGATCGTTGCACATGTGTGGCCCGAGGTGTTTGCTCATCGACGGAAGATGCCAGAAAGCCTCGGCTTGAGTGTTGCCAAGGCCAGCTTGTGGTTGCAGTTCTGACGTTTTGCGAGTGTCGCTGAGGTCTCCGCGACTCAGCCTTCAGGGGCCGCAGCAAACGACTGAACTCGCACTACAAGACAGCCTGACTTCATACAAACACCTCGGGAGGGGGTAAATGCTTCAACAAGAATACACGACCAAGATTGCAGCAGTATTCGGGCTCACACTGCATCGCGAGCAAGCCGCCGATTCATCCGGTAACCGGAGATACCACAGCATGCAAGGGGGTTCCGGAATGGTTGGATATTGACCTAATGCACAAACTCAAGCAACATGATGTTGTCGTGTTGACGTACGAACAAATTCCGGGGTCGCACGAAGATATGGGTCTTGCACAGCATAATCGTGCCTGGTCAATCTGTTGGGCCGACGGGGCACAACGCACGCAAGACAACAAGCAGACTCAGGCGGCAAAACGATCCGAAGGCGTGAGCCTTAGTAGTTGACTACTCCGAATCTCAACCAGTTCCCGTGCTGGGGCCACTTGAGTTGGTGGACAGATTGACAACACTGTCTTTGCCCTGCTCATCGGGGCTCGTTTCAGAGAGCTCTCCATCGCAGAAGGGCGTCCAACAGTTCGATGTCGATCCTATGCTTTCCTGGCTTCAGGAGCTAGGTAGGTAGGTAGGCAGGCAGGCAGGCAGGCAGGAAGGTAGGTAGGCAGCCAGGTTGATCCAACTACAAGGGTGTACTAGCACTAGGTTTAAGTCGCCGCAGCTGGCGTACAGTCGCTCCAAGCCCTGCGGCACGCGGCTTGGGAATGAAGTCACCCCAGGCGGGGCGATGTCTGCCCAACAACAATTACAACCATTCCGCAAGGGCACACAAGCTGTCGTCCTAAGTGCTTGATCCTGGAACTGATGCGGCTCGCGCAGCAAAGAGACGACTGCTGCTGGTATTTTCTCCGAGTGTGAGATTTATACTCACCATCTTAACTGCGCAGGCAAGAAATGACGACGGCGGCTTTCCCAAAAGATTAATCAGGTGCAATATGGCTTAAGAAACTGCAGGGAGCCGCCTTTCATTCAGCCACACCATGCCGCTCTGGCCAATGAGCTTCGCGAGAGGCAACTGCAGAGCACAAGGAATTTGCGTGGCGACAGAAAAAGCTCACGACTCACGGCCTCCTTGCAAAAATAATCGCCCAGTATCGATGCCAACTGCTCCACGTCCTCCCCTGACTCTGTTCGACATGGTCGAATGGGGTTTGCAAACGACAGAGGCGGCCTGGCAGTTCTGCGACAACGGCCAGTGGCATCCTCCGCCAGATTGCGGCTGTTACGACAGTACGAAAAGGCATCTGCAAAGTTCTTTCCCAGCTCTCGAAAGGCGCGCCGTGCAGAAGCGCGATCGCATGAGCCCTGGCTGGACCTGATGATTTATGATCCATGTGCTTGATGGAGTTTAGGCGCAAATGGCACCGCACGAGCGCTTGTACAGCTGCTTTGGCTCTTTGGTGGCATCGAGCCATGCCTGGGCACAGGGCAGAATGGGGGTCGGGAGCTTTGTCGGTGGCTATCTGCAATCTTCGAGCCTGCTCATTGCGTGCGTTGATCCAAGGGACGAACTGCCTGCTCAGGCACTGGCAATGCCGTCAATGCTCATATAATTTCATGCAAATATACCTAAACAAACCAATATACAAACACATGTGCATAAGCAAGCAAATAAACAAATATTATATGCATATATCTATGCATACATACATACATATATATATATATATACAACTATACATTATAACTACGTGGCGGAACCCCGCCTGCGTGCAACCCCCGAACAGCCGGGCCTTCGCGCCCAAGAGCCGAGCTGGAAGAGGCCCGAAGCACAGCCCAGCGCACAACCCGCAAGCAGAGGCCAACCCTGCAGGGAGATGTGAGGGTCGCGAGTGGTTTCTCTTGTAGTGCTTTCGGATGCAAGCATGAAAGGGCGCACGCTGTGCGCGAGTCCACCCGCACCTTGCATGAAGGCCAGAATAGAGTTGCTAGAGTAGGGCCCTGCCTGCCCCCGCTGGGTCGCCGCGCAACACATCGCACCGAGAACTTTGCCGGTGCCGGGCCCCCTCCCGAAAAGAGCATTTGGGCTCTTGAGGCTTGGCAGACGCTCAGTTCAACACTGCAGCGCGATTGGAGGATGGTTGGAGTGAGAGATGCTTCCGCTGCGGATCTGGTGCCGCAATGGGCATGTAGAACACGTACACTACAAGACTGGACAAGGAGACTGGGGGCTCTGGTCCTGCACGGCTCCCTCGCTGGCATCGCCTAGGAGCTCAAAGGATTCTCGGCTTCCGAGTTCCGAGGCTTCCCTGGGGCTCCCGGCGCGGACGGGGACGACGGTGCGGTGCCGCAGGGAGATGTGAGTGATGCGGTCAGACAGGACCTGAGACATGGCAAGGATGGATTCCGAAGAGAATGGCGGCTCTTCCGGTGTCCCCCTAAGACTTTGGCATGCTTTCTAACGATTGATAGTGATTGACTAACGCGAAGCGCCGGCCATGCCGAGTCGCTGTGGGATGGATCACTCTGAGGAATGGACCTTCTCCAGGTCAGAAGGGGGCTTTCCGACTGCCTCCCGACTGCAGGCAGCAGTAGGGCCTGCTTTCATGAGTGCCTGCTAAACTGCTAAACTCACCCGGCTTTGTTGCTCCGCGCCACTCCGAAGTGCTCTTGTGGCTGATCCATCCACTGAAATGTGGCTGTCGCCAAGTAGACTCAAACTGTGTCATGCTGCAGATCTCTCCACAGAACAAAGCTCTGCATCAAGAAAGAACGCGCTGTGGCCTTCTCTAGCCTACACATGCTTGCATGACCGCAGCAGAGTTCCACGTGGCCCATGGCCCTGTACAGGAATGGCGGCATGGGTTATTCACGTGCCTGCAGTCGGGAAACGTTGAATTAACTCCGTGGTCTGGCACTCGAGCCTGTGTCAAAGGTCCTAGGTCCTACATAGGATCTAATCTATCCGTCTCCGACGGATGGAGCGGGTGCTCACGGCTGGAGGCAAGATGAGACACGGGCTCATGCCAGAAAAGGTCAGGGGCCGGGCATGGCACCTCTGAAATCGACACCAGCCCGCCTTCTGCACATGCGGCTGGGTCTTTGGGATGCCCGGCTGGCTGTGCTTTAAGAGCTCACAGTTGAGGGAACAGGCAGCAGCGCTTTCTCGTAGGCCTCTCTCTCGGCTTAGGCGGGCATTTCACAAAGGAGGCAGAGAAACTTCAAAAGCTTCGCTGATTGGATGCCTCGGCCTGGCGTCCTCGTCCTGTAGCTGGGGCTTGGCAGCTTGCCGAGCGGGTCGAATCCGATTCGGCAGCTGCGTGGCTAACTCCTTCCGAGAGCACTGTCCCGTCTCTAGTCGGACAGTCTTCTCTCCCGTCTCAGAGTCTCAGATCACCTCTTCTCAAGTTTTCGCCAGCCCCGGTCCTGGAAGAGTATGTCCACATTGTCGCCTGTTGGCGCTACGTAGTAACTTGAATGCGAGCTCGAGGGGGGAGAACGGTTCAGACCTAACGCGACAGTTGTCAGTGGTTCCTTGCAAAAAGTCACCTTGACATCTCAAGAGAGTTTCCTCAGATCCCTGAGCCCCAAAGTGCCCCCCCCAACTTCTGTCTCTCCTGTCTTGGCGCTGGTCTCCAGGAAGATCGCTCCCAGAGCCTCGGTCTCCTTCTGCGCCTCGTCGAAGGGCACTTCCCTTCGCCCATCCAGGTCTGCCTCAAAGCAAGGCTCACGGAAAATGCCTCAGCCCTTCTTTGCGTGGCCGTGGCGGCTTATCGTGCCTTGTTGCCGACCATTGCGAGCAGCGTCTCCTTGCCCAGCTCGTGGTGCACTAAACTCACCCAGTCCCTGACACCACCAAGGAGCACATGAGCCCATGAGGGTTTGTTTTTGTATTTTAGTTCAATACAAGCATCCCTTTCGCCCCGTGCCGCAAACGACGGCTGCAAACCGACAAGAGGCTTGCAAGCCTGGCCTGGCTGCTGACCAGGATCTCCAGCACGTCACGTCGTACCTGCTTTGCCCCTGAAGCAAACCGAACGCATCTGCCACACACGTATAAAGCAAAACGACATTGCTCGGAGATAAGCTAAGCCGAGTCGCACGACTATTGCTGCGGCTGCATCTTGCAAATAGGCAGGCATGAGGCTTCGAAACCGATCTTCGCCGGCAGTGTCCCACAGCTTCAGCCTGATCCAATCACGTCCACCCAGTACCTGCCATGAGGCATTCGAGGCCTTTATTGGGCAACATCTCGCTGCTGCCTTCTTCCACTGAAAGTCCAAGCCGGCAGTTGGAAGCACGTCGGTGGAGAATTTGTGCTCCAAGCACTGCTTCAGCAGCGAGGTCTTTCCAGTGCCGCTGTCACCGACGAGCACTACCTAGCATGCAGCAGCGACCCTCCATTCGAAGACGACTCCACACTTCAGCGATCACCACGAAGCTCGCGCCTTGTAGCTAGGGCAGGTGGCCATCAAGCGCCGAACACAGAACGATGGTTAGACTTGAGCAAGCTCCAGGTCGCGATTGCAAGGATTGATGATGAGCTTCGGCTTCAGTCAACATGTGGCATGGCACTGGGCGAAGAAGCTGGTGTCGCCTTGGGCAGAAATACCCTGTACGGCCACCACGACGAGCGATAATGGGGAAGAAGGCTGTTGATGGCCTGCGACGAAGCTCGAAGACTCTGACCCTGCCCTGCCAGTCCTGAGGGCACTGAGGGCACTGCAGCAACCGCGCTGTCGACCATGTCAGGTACCTCGGTAGACTCAGAAAGCATCGCGACCCGCAGGTAGAAGACCAGAGGCGGCGACCATTTCGGGCAAGGTGTCCTGACTGCACGCGGGGCACCGCGACAGCGCAGTGAAGGGCAGATCCAGCGCTACAACTTACGTCCTGCAACAGCGTTGTCACCACGTCCCTGCAGATGGTCACTACCCTGTCCTGATCTTGGGCATCTGTCATCTGCGGGTGTCGCGCGTGATCTACCACCTACGGTAGTCGCGACTGTCCTTCGCCCAGTAGAGAGGGTTCCTGCACGGCAAGGCGGCACGACCCGGCAAGACCCCAGAGTCTCCAAGGCTCTCTCGATCTAGCGGCAGTTCGTTGGCACTTTTCTGCTGAGTCTGCTGCTCGTTCTGTGCCTGGGGTTGCCCCCCCGCCTGTACATGGGGCATTACAGAGGTGGAAAAGCTAAAAGCAGAGTCCTCTAGCGGTAAGCAACCAAGCAGAGAGCGACGGCAGTCCGAATTCGAAATCCGGGGAGCGAAGAGGGGATGGCTACAAATCGGCTTCGCCGCCGATGGAAAATCAAGCTCCTGGGTGGCTCGATGTGGTCATAGATCCCCTCGGAAAACTCTCCAGCGAACATGCACAGAAAAGAACTTGGCAGGGGCTGCCCTGGATGCCATTTCCTGCCAGCGCGCAGCAGTTCACATCTGAGTGTCCCTGGAAAGCACGCTGGCATACGCTGGCAGGTGCCGGCCTCTGCATTCAGAGCCACCCAGCTGCCATGGCAGACTTTTTGCTGCTGAGCTCCTCGCCGGGACAACTCCGAAGCTTTGGTGATTCAAGAGTGCTGCACTTCAATGCAGGCCTCGTCCAGCCGCGCCATCGCCAAGCCAGCCTCGTCTGCTTCGGAAGGCCGTGGTGGAAGTGCTCCGAGCTTCTTCTCCAGATCCCGCAACTGGCGTCAGGTGGGGGCTCCACACAGTCCCAGGAGGTGCTGCTAGGCCCACTATGCTGGAGCTTGAGCATGACCGCGCCTGTTGCCAGAAGCCCGGGTTGGGTCGGATGTAGTTCCGAGCTTGGAAGACACGCCGGAAGGCGGCATCCAGGCTCATCCTTTCCTGCTTGCAGCTAAAGGCAGTGATCTCACTCGCACCGTTGCCATGTCGGCAAAACTTACAGAAGTCAATCGTGTAACAACTGCGTCCTTCATCATGAGGTAAGCAATGCAGGTGCTGCTTGACCGGCTGATGCCCTGCGCGCAATGAATGGCCACGCCGCCTCCTGTCTGAAGGGAGCTGTCAATGAACTCCGAGCCGGACCTCAGAACAGAGGAGGAGTCTGAAGACATCCATGGTGAGCGGCTGCGATGTCTTTGAGAGGCTCTGAGCCAGTGGCTTCCAGAGATCGGTCATTGGCTGCTCTTCGACATCTTGGGCGTCGAAGACTTGCACCTTGTAGCCCTGCGACGGTGACAGGCAAAGACGCTTCAGACGGCAAGGCGGGCGGCTGCAAGAGGCTCGGCTGAGGGCTGGCCTCCAGCTTCTGGCGCAAGGGTGCTGAGTTTTCTTTTTCAGAGTAGGAGCGGTCGTAGAGATCCTCGGTGGCGCAGTTCAGGATGGAGCGGATGCCCAGGCGTTCCAACTCCGCCCGGTTCTCCAGCGCCGCCGCACCGCACAAGAAGAGCCCACCGCCCAGGTCGTCGATGCGGCTCCAAGACGGGGCGGAAGATCCGGCCGAAACGGCGACCGCGGCCGGGGCCGTGGTCCCGGCGCTCCTCTGTGCTGAGGCGGCCGCAGCCTCTCGGAGCCAGGCCATCGACATCGCTCTGGGGCTTAAGCTCTCGGCTCGAGTCTCGAGTCGCGCTTGTGATTGGAGCTCAGAGCGCTCTGAGCCACCAGGTATACATTTCTAACTCTGCACTTCTACTTCTGGCGCCGTCTCCGATGCTGGGAAAGGGTGCGGCTTGCCTGAGGGCTCGATGGGGCTTCCCGTCCAAGCGCGGAGAGTTGAGGCGGACACGCCGAGCCCGGGAGCCTGGTTTCCCCAACACAGCTCAACTTGTCCTAAGGTGTGGAAAAGGTAGGTCTGGTCCCAAGGCATAAAGCGGCATAGTACTTACGAGTATCTGGTGCGGCGCACGCTGCTGGCCCTGGGAATTGACCTGGCGATCAGCAAACGATGTGGCATCAAAGAGTCGGGACTGTCTTTAGCAAAATCGAAAAGCCCGACCGCTGTTTTTGCATGTCTTGCCAATCTGTGCTCAATGAGCCGGTTTGTTTAGTGATTTGTTAGCTTCAAGGCTGGTGCCCGTCTTCGAATGGCAAAGTGGGTGCCTCGATAAGAAGAGTCACCACATCCAAGAGGCCTGCCATTTTTAGAAAAAAGCGCGCATAACGACAACATTAGTCTTGTAAACTTGCTTCTGCCTCCGTACATGAAGCTTGCCACCGGGTCAATGTCCAACTTCACGACCTTCCAAACATATTCAACAATCCGATATGCCACGCGAGATCACGCGACTCGAGCGGGAGCTCTCCTCGAGATCGGTGATCGTCCAGTCATGCAGGGTCTCGGCCATCATGGTCAGGACGATAGATTCGCCCTCTCTGGAAAAAGAGCAAGAGGTGCAAGCTCACAACAGCATACTGCCACTGACCGTAATTGTTGTCCAGCGTGTTTTGGAGATCGATCTCAGAGCCTCCGGTAAGGCGATCATGCTTCACGCGCTGGCATATGTCTGCGAGTCACCCGGCCTGGGCGAAGTTTCCGGACTGGACGTGGATCCCGAAGGCAATAACCTCTCTCAGCATCAGAGAAGCAGCAACGAACCAGTCCGTGAGAAATCAGAAAGCAAACCCTGTCGGAGGCCACAAGGAAAGCGCAGGAGGCTCAGCATCGCACATCCACTCCGGGTAGCATCTCAGCCACCTGCGGCTGCGTGCCACTGCGCACAGGACACATCGACATGTAGAAGCGTCCTCTCACGGCCTTTGCCAAAGGTCCGTCGGGGCTGCCGCACTGCCGCCAGTTCTTCAACAAACTGAGGCCAGCTGCGAGGAGGGACAGGTACTGTAGGCTCTTCGCCGGGGCCGGGACTTCAAAGCTTCCTGAGCTTCCTGGTGGTGGCCTTCTGGAAAGACTCGCGGCGACGCTTCTTCGAGTCCCCTCTCCCAGCCTCGCAGGTCCAGCATGGCCTCGCGGCGACTCGCGGCTGGGCTCTCGAGAGGGTTGTCCCTCTGCTCGGTTCCGCCAAGACACGGAGGCGATGAGGTTGGAGCCCGGCAGCAGCTCCGCCACCTGAGGCAGGGACAAGCAACAGGGGCGAGGAGGGATCCACGGCAGGTCTCCGAACCTTGACTAGGGCTCCATCCTGGCACAAAAACACTCAGCTCAGCCCGGCCCCGTCGTCCCGTCTCGGCTTTCGGTGACGTCGTGCCTTCGCCAGATATCTCTGCAGCGAAAAAGCTCGGGCTCGTTCCTCTGCCTCGATCCTAAACGGAAAGAGAACGATTCGACTGAGTGGTGCCTCACTGCAGGGTCAGGAGCTTTTAAGCTGCGCGCTGGCCCTTGAACTTGTGGTAGCACCTCACAAACATCATAACCCCTTCGAATCCTGCACGCATTGCAGCGGATGCGGCGTGCCGTAGGCCATCTGCAACCAGCGGAAGGTGTTCTCCCGCCTGCCATGCAGCAGGTGTCGGACCCTTTCAAAAGCAACCCACCCCCGTGCATCTGCCCACTGCGACCGGGTAAGCTCAGGAGGGTCTCAGAACGGTGCATTACAACATCCTCATCCTCATCCTCTCAAAATCTCAGATAAATTTCGATCGGGGCACATCCCTCGCGGAGGTGGAGGATCCAAAATCCTTCGTTTTGATGTTCTGCAAGCTTCATGCCCCGGGCCCTGCCAGCCTACCCCCGCTCCGGGCCCTCGCCGAGCTAGAATTCTCAGCTGCGGACTTACTGTTCACGCAATAGCTCATGAAATACTTTGCTAAGCAGTGTCCGAATGCTACATCGCCGCAAACCCTGCCTTTATCAGAAAGCCATTGGTGCCTGTGCCAAGTCATTCTCAGACTCACAGAGGCAACAACGTCTTGAATGGCTGATTGGGGCCCCTGGCCGAGAGGGTTCATCGGCAGCGTGATGACATGCCTCTCCAGGCAGTACAGAGAGCACCGCTGAAGAATCTTCTGACCTCAATTCCCCTCAGTTTGTTGAATCGGTAGGCCGCCACCCAGAACCCCTAAAATAAGGACTTGAGCCCCTCAACTTCGTAAATATATTAGACTTATCAAATCGAGAAGCTCAGTATCTTATTTTCATGCTTTGGCCTTGTTATTTCGCTATCATAGAGCCTTCCAAAGCTGTTGTCGGGGCCTTATGAGTCAAACCTTGATCAAGCCTTGATCAAGCACGCGCAGAACCCCCCAAAACACGAAATTGAGCCCCTAAATTTCTTAAACTTAGGAAATACAATTAGAAGCCCTCAATTTCTTATTTTGAAGGTTCTGGGCATGCCTAAGCCCTAGAAGCGGAATTGATAAACGCCCTGACAGCAGCTGTGAAGGCCTCTAAAGTGGCTTAACTGAAAATGCTGTGTGATACAAGACAAAACACCAAAATCAGAATTTAGGGGCTCGATTTCTGAAATATATCGAGTGCTCTGGTAAGGGCTGAAGACAAAAGCTATGATTAATGGAGCATGGTTTGATAAAGGCGCAAAGCAAAGGAAAGCCACGCTCAGTACGGAAATCACTGGGGGCGGAACTCCCGCAGGTGTTTTTGGGATTCTGACTGGCCAACTATACTAATTCTTTCAGTTTGAAACATTTGGGTTAAGAAATCCAGGGTGCCTGTTGAACAAAACATGCGGTTCAAACTCCAGAAATCCAGGGTCCCTCGCCAAAAAAAACATGACTCGACATTGCTGCTAGCTGTCGAGTGCTCAGGCTGTCGCGACACAGGGCTTCAGCTGGGGCCAGCTCCGGTCTTTTGCTTTTTCGCTCCCGCGGGTTTTGGCGGTTTTCACCATGGAGTCACTCCGAAGTGTCACTGCGCCGTCAGGACGTGGCACCTGCCTCGAAAAGATCGCAGAAAGGAGTGGGTCACAGCTCGGCCTGGCCTGGCCTGGCCTGCGTCTCCTCTTTCGTCTCTGGTTCTGCTTCTGCTGGTGCTTCTGCCGGCGCCTTTTCCTGCCGGGACGGCGACTCATGTTGCTCGGCTCGGCACGGCATGTCTAGTTGAATTACACAGCCCAAATCCTCAAGTTACCAGTGACGACGTGACGCAATGCAGCGCTTCTGCTTTAGGCAGTCGTCCAAGAGTGCAGCCAGGACGAGAAAGCTATAGTCACAACCAATAGGGGTTAACTCTCAGCATCTACCTATCCCCAATGCCAGGTATGCCAGGTCTCTATAGCTCTGCTCCTTCTTCTTCTTCAGCTTCATTCTCACCAGCACAGCCGCAGCACCGCAACAGCCACACAAAGGGACTACGAAGGTGATGAAACCGAGGACCAGGAACCAGCGGCCTGCCGGCTGCGTGGCACTATATATATATATATATATATATATTATTATTATTATTATACACTATATATATATGTATATATATACATATTATATTATATATTATATATTATACATTATATACTATATACTATATATTATATATTATTATTTATATTATAGGCCTGCAGTGCCGACGAACATCACGATGACAAGACATGTCAAGGCCTGAGGTCTCGCACTCGATCTTCTTCACGTTCACTCTGGAGACCTTTCAGGGCCAAGAACCCTCGTTCAAAGTTTAGCTTGCGGCTCGGCCGTGGTTACTGCACACTGTATTTCTAGCCTTGCATTCTGGTTGTGGTACTGTCTTACACGTCGGATCCGAACAAGAAAAGAAAATAATCCTGCATCAAGCTATCCACAGGAGAGGTGCAACAATCATGCCAGGTCCCTGCAGCAAACACCTGCACATCAAGCTCAAACAGCTTTTGCCGGCCTGATCTCTCCAGCGCCCAGACTTGCAAACCAGCGCAGAAGGCTGTGGCTTTTGCCAGTATCGCGGGTCGGGGCATCGCACGGTGCACGCATCGCCCTCACGCAGCTTCTTGCGGGTCCTCCCAATCATGTTCGCGCTGAGCAGAGTCTGCAGGCAAGCCGGTCCGGGGAGTTCCTGTGCTGGGCGTCGTCGTAGATTTGCATGTCCTCAGGTCCGAGACGTACAGTGAAAGATCTGCTGCCTTTTTGTTTTTTTGTTCCTGCTTGAGCCGAGGCGCTGGAACGTCTACAGCTTCCGCACAGATCCAGTCACCATCCTGCAAGCGCTCATAGGCTCTCTCAGGCTCGAGGGCTTCGTGAATCTAGGCCCGGTGCCGTCCACTGCGGGATGATACATCCTGGAGCTTCCATCGTATGACGGGACAACGGCTGAGACGCAGGGACGCGACAAGTCAAGCAGTCCTATGTAGTCGATGTTGTTGAAATCGATCTCCTCACATGACATGCTGATTCATCTGACTATTTGGCCTTTCTCGCGCCGTTCGGCAAGTTGAGCAACACGTCGTGCATCCTTCTTGTCCTTGGACTCCTGAAGCCAGCGCGCTTCTGTGCAAGGCGACATCGGCACTAGCTGTCCTTGCTCGCTACCGAAGTGACCATCGGCATGCCAGGTGGAGACCTGACGGAGAAGCGGCTCCCGTAAAATGAGGACATCCACTGCAACGTGTGAGGCAAGGCACGGAGACTTCGGGGACCCAAGCACCTGAGACGGAGATGATAGACAAACGGTCATGGGACTTCCTGCAAGACTCTGCCTCAGCAACGCAAAACGCAGGACCTTGCAGTCCATTGCATGTTGCAGCTGAAGCGCACCGGAGAAGGAGCTCAGGAACGGCGACTTAGTGGGTCTCACGGTAGGAACGTGGCTCACAACACTGTCAGAGACATTGCAAATAGCTGCATCCCACGGGCTGTTGAACAGCATGTCGTGTTTGTGCACACGGAGTCGTCGGACAGCTGTAGGTATTAAAATCGGAGGAAGATCGTTGTCTCTCACATGCAAATGCAACAGAAACGCTTAAAAGCCATCGGATACAAGAGCAGGAATAATTAGCCGAGCAATCCACGCCACGAGGACTCTGCACGCTTCGGAATTGACTGAGCCTGGCTCTCTTAGCAGCTTTGCATCAGTGCAGGCGAGGTGCTCCAGATGAAGCACCGGAGGACATGCCCGGGCCATAACCCATCTCGGCTTCAGCTAGGCTGATATTTGCAGAGGAGGACATCTGCTCAAGGGATCCATTGGCAGCCAGAACACGGAGCCAAAGTTGGAGAAGGACCCCAGGGAGCCCAGGCCCAAAGGCCCATAGGGCGGCGCTGCCCCAGTGTCCTCCTGGAGAAGGGCCTGAAGCTCATGGACTCATGGACTCTGTCAGATCACAAGCCCCGTTCAGGCATCGGACATCGGATTCCTCTCGGGTCGAGGCCTCAGGCTGCAGCTTCGTCCAATAGGAGTGAAGTGAAGGCTAGAATCAACATGCGTGAAGGCGGCGTCGACTTGCTGCGTCACCCCGTGCCTAGCCAAGCGCTCCTGGCTTCAAAGAAAACGGGTCGCCATGCCAGTTCTGTCCGCAGAAGTCCAAGTCTAAGCATCCGGCCTGAAGAGAGTCTGAGTCCAAGTCCGGCAGTCGGACAGGCGTGCCTTCAGCCAAGACTGCCTGCAGAAAGTGCTGGGCAGTGAGGGAAAACCTGGCATGAATGATCTTCCCTTCGCCTCCAAAGCCTTGAAGTCTTTCTGAGCCTGCGAAAGATGAATCAAAACACGAGCAAGCCTGAAAGAGCATGTTCTTGCTGGCGGGACAGACTGAATTGAGAAGACCCAGCGTGGCAAAGGATGCTCTGAAGCCCGCTGCACCTGTTCTGAGTTGGGCATGGCATCTGCATCATCCTGCTAGGCACTGCTCACGCAGTCAACGTCTGGTTGAAAAACCCTTGTTTGGCAGGCCTTTGCTCGGGATGTCTTGCTCAGCGGGCGACTGGAAACCTCGAATGATCTCGTGACGGCACGGGTGTTGAGCGACTTTATCTTGCAACGCCTCGTCAGCAAGAACCGGCTGATGCCAAGCGGCCCGAAAGCCGTCCCGGCGCATGAGTTCGTCTATAGGCGCTTCGTGCCTGGTCATAGCCACAAGCACAAGCAATGACTTCAACGTCCATGCAACTGCACCCATTGACTTTCGCCACTTTGCCCGCTTTTGCCTTGATGCATGGCCAGGGCCCTCATGGATTGCAGTCACCTTGGCCGTGAACACGCCAGCGAAACCCTGCAAAGAGTCCTCCATTGTGGACGCGAGGGGTACTGTACCGTGCGCCACAGCTCCAATCTCTTGAGGAGGGAGGGAGACGTAGGAGGTAGGAGACTCCTCCAGACAGGGGGGCGTACGAGAAGGAAGGGAACCCTTGCCAGGCTGTGCGTGGGTCGTCTCGCGGAAAACATGTCAGGCGGTGAGCGACATGAACAGGTTGACAAGTCATGTCGGTCTGAGATGGACAGCGCTTCACAACTACGAAGAAGTTGTAGATCAACAGCTGTGCAGAACAAACAACTCAGCAACTGCTTCGATGTGATTTTCAATGGTCGGAGACACAGCAGTAAGGACGGCACCACATCTGCATACAGCAGCAGGAAACTAACATGGATCCGTCTCCTGAAGCGAGACATGACCTCACTTGGGCAGACGTGGCTTCTTGTTTGGCAAAGTCTAGACCTGTGCAACGTAGCTCCGAGATCGCTGAGACGGTCGCTTTCTCTTCTCAAACGACGCAGCCACATGCGAGCTGCAACTCTGCAAGCCCACGCACGGCTGCAGATGAAACTTCGTGCGATGGAAATAAACATGTTCTCTTGCAGGACAAAATACATTCAAGTATATGCCAGGAACAGAAAACGGTCACTGGCCTATGCTAGGCCACCTTTGCACTTCACATCGCCTGAAGCAGCTTCAACAGCTTCTGGAGGCTTTACCACTACTTCCCAAGTGTTGGCAGCCGGCAATGGCCTTAACTTGTGAGGCCGCGCGCCATGACAGGGAACTCGCGAGCTGCGGCAGCCCTATAGCGTCTTCGTTGGCTTTGGCAGAGGTTGCAACACGCCTGACCCGTGTTTTGCTGCTCTTTGAGTGTGTGGTTGTTCGCATATCATGTCAGCTTGAGCCGATTTGTAGGAGCCCGAGCACGGCACGGTTGTACTTGTGTTGCAAGTCCCCTGAATAAGCCTTCTGCTCAGTAAAACACACCTGTATCCCCACTTCCCCAGTCCCTGCCCCCTCCACGTAGCTTTTTCTCCAAACCGCGCCGGGTTTTGTCCACAGAGTAGGGTCACACGTGGCAGTTGTCGTTCCCAGCATCGTCATGGCTCACATGCCAGCACTTGGCGCCGTCCCAGTCCCTTTCGCAGCCGTTGCCGCATCTGTTGGTCTGTGTTCCGGTGCCGCTCTTGCAAAAGCCGAAGAAGTTCGTCTCGCACATGCAGCACCATCGCCTTAGCACTTCCGCTTGACGGCGCTGAGGCTGGGGCTGTTGCAACCCTGCTGCCCATTCACGGACGGTTTCAGGTGGAGAGTTCTCAGGTGGGGTGGGCACCTTACAAACAGCTTGCAGAAGGGGTGTGTAAGGCTCAAGGTTCTGAAACAAGTATGTTGTAAGGGAACCTATACCCACTGCTGCATTGCAGCCCTGCCGGTGCCCGCTACTGTACCCGTGTATTTACCTTGACCAAGGGGCGTGTGCTTTGCCTGGGTCGTGTTCTGCGCCACGTGCTCGTGCTCGCGGACGAGAGCCAAGTGCGTGCCCTCGGCGTCTGTCTTGGCAATCTGCCGCACGGCCACGGCGCTGGCGAGAAGCACAGCGATGGCACAAAGCTTTGGCACCGCCATGACGGCCGATGTGGGGGAGCGCTGAATGGTCAAACAACAGGGGAAGGGCTTGAGCTTCTTACAGTTCTCTGCGGCGCGGAAGTTCGTGAAGCCAAAAGTCACCTAACCGTCATGCGACAAAGGGTCCGCGCTGCATATAGGCACCGTAATATGTGCAAAGTCGCACTTTACCCGGCAAGCTCATCGACTACACAACCCAAAGGATTCCAAGAACATCCTAGTCTACACAAAAATCTATGTACGGCATCGTGCCCCGTGCCAAAGGGCCTATTGTGCACCGTAAGATACCTCTTGCAATAACAAGGGCTTTAAGGTACGGGATGTCTTGCGCGCAGCCTTGCTCGCTTCGAGGTGGAAGACCCCCTTGCCGGAGTAGTAGTAGTAGTAGTAGTAGTAGTAGTAGTAGTAGTAGTGGTAGTGGTAGTAGTAGTAGTAGTAGTAGTAGTAGTAGTAGTGAACAGCGATATTTCTCGGAGACTTATTAATAACTTATTAAGACTTTCCCTTCCCGAGAAGAGTTGTTAGGGAAGCTCCGTCATGTAGGTCTGTGTCTGAGATTCCTAGAGGGGTGGTTCTCCTAGAGGTAATTTGGCTGATTCCTTCTTCGTTTTTCATAGAAATCCCAACATCACCCCTCTGCAAACCCCCGTACAGCAGCCGAAATGCTTTCCTGTTTTGCTTCTGCCCTGTCATGTCTTGGTGTTTGTAACATGCTTTCCGGTAGTCGAAGTCACCATCTTATTTAAGTCTGGTGAAGACACTTCTTCTGCATTTCTTCGGAGCATGGGGCTAAATTTGTCGGGCATTGCAATTCAAGCAACACGTGGCAACAGGGATGGGGCAGCCAGCCTTTCGCAGCGAAGCAGTCATGGCAAATTCAGCACACTACCGAAGCAGCGGTCCACTGAGTCATGGATGCATCTTGTTCTCAAGGACAGTACCGCGAGCAAACTGCGACCAGTCACCTGTGCGGACCGAACGCAGCCGTGTCAGTCTCTGGTCTTTCGAGCGTTGCGCGAATTAGACCTGTCCACTCGCGATTCGCACCTCTTCGTTAAGGAAAACCAAGGCCGAACCAGCATAGCAGAAGTGCGCTTCAGCACACTTCGCGTATTGGATCTCCAAACGAATTCGAAACAAGCGCCCAGGATCTTGCCACGCCTCTAGCAAGAGAGCCGCCTCAAGACAGCTGATGCGACTAGAACCACCGAGGCGGCCACGGCTACGGCTGAGAGAAATTCCAGCCTGCGTCCGTGGCAGCGGCAGCAGCTCACCTGCTGAGCAGCTTCAGCAAGCGATGCTGGTGCATTGATAGTGAAAAATGTTATGATCCCGACCATCCGAGGCCGAAAGGTTGCTGCCTCCCAAAACGGCTTCGAAAAGAAAGGGTGAACCCCAAGACGACGATTGCTCTTCGCCCCAAGGTGCCTGCCACCGCCTCCAAAGAAGCTGTCGAAGCCGGAGCCGAGCATTCCTGCACATGGAGGCAGGCACATGCAGGCATCCAGGAAGTCGTTGGCAGCCGCCTGCACCGCTTGCGCCGTTTGCATCCCCGTTGGACTCGCTTCTTGTGGTCTCGACCGTACCATCCGGCTTGCGGACCTTGGGAGAAGACCCAGCTCTGCTGTAGGCTGAGGCTGCCCTGAAAACCCTCTGAGGAAGGAGCCGTCTTCTCGGTGACTGTGACCTTCTGACCGTTCACAATCCTGCCACTCGGGTCACGTCGGCACGCATCGGCTCGTAATACACTGAGTGACCAGGTGTCCTGGTGGTTGTCGTCGTGCTGGTCATCATGCCTCACACGCCAAGGGCAATCTTTGGCTCTTGAGGCCCAAGATGTCTCACTCCTCCACTCCCGCCGCCCATGGAGCTGCTGAAAGAGCTGAAGGATGCACCACCGGCACCACCGCCTGGGCCTGGGCTCGAAGAAATTACGCGAGGCCCGCCAGGCCGGACCAGGCCCGGGCCGAAGCCACCCGAGAAGAAAGGGTCGTCGAAGCCTCGACTAAGACGAAGGGAGACTCCGCCATTCATCGCCATTCCACTCTGTTCCACTGTCTATGTCAGACTTATAAGGCAGGTCTCAATGCACATGTCAGTGAGCAGAGGGTCCCCTGAGCCGAGGAAAGGGCCAAAGCTGGACCTTGCACGCCCAGACCCAGACCCAGACCTGCCCGACTCTGCGACTCCCGAAAGGACTCGCAATCTTCTCAGACTACTATAGTGATATACTAGTGGCACGGCCAAGTTTGCCTGGAGCCCCTGTGCATCTCTTCGAACATCCTTGGCAAGGTCGCAAAGTAGCTGCGAAGCTTCTCAGCTCCTGCTACTTCCATCGCACGGTCCTATAGTGACTGTAGTGCCTGATGCTGAGACGGCGTCCGATCCATTTCGGCGAATGGATTGCGACCACCGAAGAACTGATGGAGCGAAGAGGGAGGGTCAACCAGAGAGAGAGAGAGAGAGAGAGAGAGAGAGAGAGAGAGAAGGAAGCACGGGAAGACAAAGACTGTGAACTCGTCCTTGCCTGCTCAAAGACACTGAAAGCGTCCCCTGCGAGATTGACATGGCCAGACTGAGTCTTTGTGCTGCTTGCGCGGAGCACAGCACGGGGCACCGTTGAATCCCGAGTGGAACCCACCCATGCCACTCCCATCAAAAGCCTCTCCGCAAGAGAAAGGGTCGAGTTGCAAGTGGACAGGCGCCACAAAAAATGCCCAGCCTCGCCACGGTCGTACGCTGCTCTTTTCTGGGGGTCAGACAGTACCTCGTAGGCCTCAAAAATGGAGCTTCTCGACACTCGGCTCTCCCTTTTCTCGAATCTTCGAATCTCTCATGCCTCTGCAACGGCCTTGAACTTTTTCTCGGCTTCCTCCTGCAGACATTCCAAGGACCACTCTCGATCACTGGGACCCTGCCTGACGCCTGCCTTGTTGTCAGGGTTCTTATCTGGATGCCACTTCAAAGCTTCCTGCGACAGGGCTCGGGTTGCAGTTGCGGACATATCTGTGATCGGGCAAATGGGGCCTTCCGATAAGCCTTCTTCACATCCGCCTCGCTCGCCGTCTGCGACACCTCAGAGGCGAAAAGGGATGCAACCGTGGCATCAGAAATTGCATCCTGTGCGTGCGTGTGTAGGCCCTCCACGCCAAGGACAGCGTAGTAGCCGCTGGGATCCGCCATGCTGGAATCCGGAAACGCTCTTCGCTTCGTAGCTGAATCGTCGGGGCCTTCCGTAGTTATGTCCGTTCGGAAGAAGACCTATAGGGGAGGCATGCTGCCAGCTTGCCAGCTGCCGGAGCTTGTGCTTCTTCTTCGAGCCATTAGCCGCCCGCGAAATCTCATGTATTGAAACATATCGAAACAGTGGATGCAGCGCTCGGAATACAAGCTTTCTCGGCCAGTGCTCCAGCGTTGACCTGCGCTCTTCGCAGCCTGAATTCCAGGAGGCTTCCGTCCTGTGCCGACAAGGCAAAGAATGGATCGGAGCACCCAATAGACGATCCGATCCCCGCGGTGCCTTAGCCATGAATTCAAGGGACCCGCCGACCGAAAGCTTGCCAACCTCGGACTTGCCGAGTCGCCTTCGCCAGGGCTCTGCACATCTCTGCACCGCACCGGACATGCCCTGGCTATGGGCCGTTCTATAGGCCTGCCGTCAGCCAAGACCTGGTGGGAGCTGAGGTTCTCAACCTGTCGCACATCACTGAATATGCATCAATCACGCCGGCAGGGCACAAAGCGAAGGCACATCTGCACGATTTGATGGGCACGGTCTCTAGAGCCAGGGCGCCGAGGCGCGTGGCGGGGCGGGCAGGGCCGCGGCGGCATTCCTCTAACGATTCCACAGAAGGACTTCCTCTGGAAGTCCCCAGAGAGCGCTGCATCTGGGCATCTATGAATTGAGCATGTCAGAGACTTTGCCTTAGGCAGTGTCTCATAATCATAAGCTGTCCCCAGATTTTGGGTTTAACACTAGGACACTAGGAGTTGTAGTCCAAGACGAGAGCTTCGGGTTCTTCTGCCCGAACGATTTTGTACCAGGTGTGCGTGTACTTTCGCATGTCGAAGTAAGACTGCAGCATGTACTGGATCTCAACGATAATGGCCACTGGCTCCTTTCGCATTTTCTTGGAGCAGTAGTGGCGTCGAGCAGCATCGCAACATTTGAGATACTCTCGGAGCTCGTCGTCCATGCTGGCCTCATCAATGAACCCCATGTTCAGGTAAGTGTCGAGGAGCAGTTGCCTGAGAGAACTGATCTGCTTGATTAAGGAAGCCCGAGTTTGGGTGACTTTCGTCCATCAGTTTAGCCACAAATCGAGATTCTTCTCATCTCCTCACAGCATGACGTGCATATGCATTCCAATTGGCTTTCGCACGAACATAAGTTGCCTCGTTCGGGGGACTTCTGAGCATCTGCACACCTCCAATTCAACTAACTGGGTGGCAGTAAACCGCCCGAGGCGCAGGAAAGGCGCGAATTTAACTACAGTAGACACAAAAAACCACCCCCAAAAAAGGGCCAAACGTGGATCGGAGGAAGCCTCGAAGTTCCCTGAGGCTTCGGCCGGAACTTGTCCCAGGCGGCGTTGGTCTTCTTCGACGCCTCCGCATGCTCTGGGCTGCGACCCGCGAGATCTCCCCAGGTGAGGCCCGGGATGAAGCGGTAGTTCGCCAGGATGTTACGGTAGCCCTTGGTGTCCGATAGCGCATCGAAGCTGGGATCGTAACCATTCTTGATCCTCACAGGAGGGCCAAAGACCTCCTGGGCTTTGGCAAAAGCATCTCTGAGCTGCTTGGGCTCCTGAAAGATCCAGGCCACTCGATTCGTGTCGATGTTCTCGGCCGCCTTGGGGGTTGCAGCCTTTGCGTGGTCTGTGTCCAGCTTGGCCCACATCCGCATGAAGCCCTTTGGAGGAGGGGCGCGCACGGATCCACCAACGCTTTCACAGATCTCCTTTGCTCTGTCTTGAAAGAGATGGTCGACTGCGTGCACCGCACTGAGCAAAAGGACGATGTAGGCTGCCTGCGACATCCTTTCTTCATCGTCTTCCTCCTCCTGCTCTTCCAGGCCCAACCTGTCTTCTGGCATCACTATGTGTTCATCCTGTCTGGGCCTCTTTTTGATCTCGATGTCCTCACCGATGAATCCCAGCTCTTGGCCAATATTGTTTTCCACGTACTGCTTCTCATACTTGATGCCGATGCCATCGAGTTTCTTAACTGCCAAAGCCTTCAAGTCCTGGAAGCCTTCCTCGTCCTTCCTGTCTGGCTCGGGCCACAACCTCCAGTTACCGATCAGCCATTTTACTGGCAGCTGATAAGACTTCTCGCCGTCACTGACCTTCGACATAGCAGCTTTCAGCCATGACAAAGCTTTCTTGCGGTCGGCGCCTTTGGGGGCGACTCCGTCCAATTCTCGGTCGGCTCCAGCATGATTCTGCAAGTAGAGCAGGGCGTGCTTGTGATCTTCCGGCCGCTTTGGATCCGGAGGTTTCAGGGTCTTCATGCGCTCTGCAGCGTCCTGAGCCGAGCCAGCACGTGCTGGCATCAGCTTCTGCCACAAGGCGTTGCGGCCGGTCATGCTCAGCTGCTTCACATCGACGTCCTGGGCAGACACTGATACACTGCGACTGTTACGGAGCTACAGCTTAGGAGAGGGCGAGACTGCTGTGCCGGGCTGGGCTGTGCTGTCCACTCAGAGCTAGATGTCATAAGGAAGATGTGCTCTCCTCGTCGTACTCGTCGCTGTCCTCCTCGTCCTCTCCCTCCTCATCGTCTTCAGGGTCGTCCCCTCCTTCTTCGTCTTCTCCCTCTTCCTCCTCCTCCTCCGGCACTGGTTTAGCCTTGGCCTTGGCCTTGCCTTTGGCTTTGGCCGCGGCCTTGCTTTGGGCTTTGGCTTTTGCATGGGAGGCTTGCAGGGTGAGCTCGGCAGTTTTTAGCTTCGACTCTTCCATGGGGGAGAGCTGGGTGCCAAAGAGCCAGACCCCGAAGTCCGACAGCACCACCTTGCCATCGTTGTCCGAGTCCATGGCGGTCAACAAGACTTTGATGGAAGCATCCGTCCACTCAGCTGCTGAACCAGCCAGGCCCCGCATCAAGGCTCCCAGCTCGACGAAGTCGATCATACCGTCGCCATCCTTGTCATACTTCTTGAAAGCCTCCCGTGCTCCGATAAACCTACACACCTGCCACTGACTGCTGTTACGCTACTGTACGACTCTGTACGACTGTACGTGCTACTGCCGGGAAGCCTCCAAGACATGCCGGACCCTCTCGTCGCTTGCATCGGCATTCTCATCCTGAAACCAACCAGGGACTTTGCCCAGCTGCAGTCAACACTGTCTGACCCTGCTGAGTCTGCGCCTCGTCTGCATCAAGCCCCGGCATCAGGGTGCAGGGGCTTTGCGGCTCTGAGCCAAAGAAGCTGATGGAAGTCAACATCACCTGTCATCCTTGGGCCCCAAATGAGGTCTGCAGCTGTCCGCTCTCCACCGCACCTCCACGAGCAACTCCTTGGTCGCCACGATCTTCACCTGAGCCCCACGGCGGATTAGTTTCCGCAGGCGGCTCCGGCGGAGTGGGGGGCCCGGCTCTCAGATGACTTCGCGAGATAAACGACAAGCTCGGTGCCTCCATCAAAAAGCAACGTTCTTAAACCCCTCAGTTTTCTAGTCCCCTCCACCCGATGCTCCCCGTAATGCACCCTAACCCAAAACATCTACATACAAGCGACCTATCCAAGCATGTATAAAAATAACAAGCAGCATACATACACAAAACCAATTGCATTGTGTTGCACTGTGCTGTACAGTAGGGTACTGTATTGTATTGTACGCTTGGGGGCGGGCTTGTGGAGGTATGTATGTATGCATGCGTGTACGTATGCAGGAATTATGTGAATATGTATCTTTAAGAACGCATTCGACAACTCATGCATTTGGACTGCCACCCGTAGCCTGCAGAAGCTCGCCGAAGATCCTTTGATGCTGCCGGCCAACCTGGCAACTCGAAGACAGCTCACCTTTTGCTTGTCAGTTGCTCTCTACGAGGCCTTTGTGATACCTTGTGAAAGTGGGATTTCTTTCGCCTCCGAGCAGATCAATGCCACAGATTGGAACTACTTATACTACTCGGTTAGATTCTCCGACTGCTAGTGCCCTTGTTTTTGCGGAGGCCTCACGTGGGAGACTCTCCAGGCTGACTTCGACGCCTCCACTCACTCATGATGTGTCTGTGTGACATCGCAATGCTGGAGGGATCAAAGCGTCAGGATCCAGAGCTCGAGAGTCAGCGAGGCTCAGCCCAAGGCAGGCGGTCTTCACGCATTCGAGCACGGCTGTCAGCTGACCCGCAGGCCGCGACCTGGTCATGTCTTCAGCGCCACACTTCTACAGTTCCCTGTAAGGGGCCGCACAGCAAAGTCGGCGCCGCCTGGTTGCGAGTCAATGGGTCTCAAGAGCAAGCCTTCCCCACGCAAGCTTGGCCTGCTCATGCAGGGTGACCAGCAGCAGGACGGAGCACCCATCTGCGCAGAAGCAAAATTGGGTACTTTGAAGCTCTGTGTTCTCTAAAACACAGGCAGTTCTGCTCGGCGGCTCGGCCTTGCAGTCCTGGACGACCGAAGCCCAATTTGGCACCGTTGCGGACAATCACAGCTGCGCCTGACACAGAAACCCACGACAGGGCCGTGGCGGTGGCGGAAACTGCAAAAATAATGGAAAACGACCAGTCCTTGCTGGACGGCAATTCCGTCGACGTGCAAAGGATTCCTCTTTTTGATCACTGATCAACCCCAATGTATAAAACTGCAATGAGCCGTGTGAGTTTGCTCTCGAATAGCTCAGCTGCAGGCGCTGACAGCTTTCGGAGCTGGAGGGGCAAACCGGGCCTCTGATGCAACAGGACCAACATTCACTTACGGAGCCAGGCCCGCACCTTGCACGGAGCTTGAAGTGTGCCCGTGAGATGAACAGAGCTTCCTGCCCGAACACTTTCGGATGTCCCGGTGGAGCACTTCGGTGTGCAGACGAGGTGTCCGTTTTCTGCAAGAGGCACTCGAAGAACTCCGGCTGGTGTTGCCTTCCTGTAGAGTCACGTCGTCACTCGAGAGGAATCATTGGAATCACTGCGGGCCTATGGTTATTTCCTGGTCCTCGCACACCTGCTCAAGCTGCAAAGTTGCTACAGCCTAGAAGTCATGGCCGACGGCAAATGTGGGAAGAAGGAAAGGTCATGGAGTCAGCAGGACGCCGCATCGCAGAGTCCGCATGGGTCAAGCTTCTCGAAAGAATTGCTTCATGATGAAAACCTCTTCAAAGCTCCTGCAATCGGGAACTCCGTCATGAGGCAACGTAGCAAGTGGGCCGCGAGGTGACCAGATGTGCGACACAAGCGGATACAGTAGAAATAATACTCAAAGAGACAGACCTTGAAGAAGATGGTCCATGTATGCGGTTTCCTCATGTCTTCGCGTTCTGTCAACGGTCTTCACACCCCGAGCTCGTGCTCTACAAGGACACTCCTTTGCGCTGAATTTCGCATGTGCCCCTGCTGCTGCTGCGGCATGTGACCATGCATGAGAAGGGGCAAGCTGACCTCGGTTCTTGTTCGCTTTGGCTCCAGACCTCGGATCGCAACCTTGTGATCTCTGTCTGTAAGTACTCACTGCACGAAGACCAGGCCCATCTTCGGGGGGCCGCCCTAAAATACGGGAAGGGGGAAGGGGGAGCTTGCATCCTTCGTGGGGGGGAGGGGTGGTGGGTTCCAAACATGAAGTGAGCATTACCCATCTTATGCGAGGATCCGGATTCCGGACTTGCGCTGTTACGGGAAAGTCATGAGAGTTCTGCAGTGCAAAGAGACCAGCCTGGAATCGGATAGGGGAAATCTCTTTCGGAAACTCCTGAGACGTAAGGCTGAATTTTTTGAGCAATCTAGAGTCTAGAGCTTAAGCCGCGATTCTGAGCGGACGGCTTTAGCCTCGTTAGGCCTTGGGACCTGGGCCCAGGGCTCTGACAGCTCCTCTCCTCGGCCAGCCCGTAACCGTAACCCGGTGCCCGACGCACGACAGGACCACTTCCAGCGGTGCCTCTCGCCAGACGCAAGAGCAGAATCCCGCTATACCGAGGGGGTCACATGCTGCGACTTTTTGATAGCCCTGGCCTCCCCCCGAGGACCGGCAGGAGCTGAAGGCAGCTGCGATAAGGCCTCCGAAACTTCAATACAGAACCGCTCTCCGAGCTCTCACAAAAAAAGAAAAAACGTGCATGCTGAAAGCTGAAACGCGACACCTCGGCGATCTCTGCGAAGCTTGGCCGCGCTGCTGTCGGATCGAGCTCGACCTTCCGAGGCCGGCCCCGAAGGCGTTCGTCGGAGTCGGAGGCTTTCTTGAAGACGTCAGACTCGGACGCAGCGCAAGGCCAAAGTCGCCAGAGGGTCCAAGACCTTAAGAGGCCACCTGAGCAGAAGAGGAGGGAGCTTGAGAAGACCTGACTCTCCGGCCGAAAGCACCTCGCCGACACGTCCTGGTGCTCCGCAACCCGCGTGCGAGCCCCGAATCGCGCCTTGTGAAGAAGCTGCAGAAGCTGCAGAATCCGAGTTTACACGCCGAATGCCAGCCAGGTCACGTTCTGAACGAGCTGCAGAAGCGGGTACACCAGCTCGCCTCTCTCAAAGACAGGTGTGTTGCAAGTCAAGCTCTCCTTGCTTGATGCCTGTGGGCTTCTCAAGAGCAGGAGGCTTGTTGATGGCAAGCTCCAGCAAGAGAGTTCCGAAAGAATACACCTCCGTAACTCCGTGACATGGAGGTGTCCGCAGAGCATTTTCTCGGTCAAGGACCTCTGTGTCCTCGCTCACACGCTTGGTAGCGAGGTAGTTTGGACACGCATACCTGCCCACGTGCAAGCGACTACCCCTGGACATCAGCGGTCAGCCATCTTCGATGACAAAACAAGGCTCACCCTGGAGTTCCACTGACACGCGTCACCTGCATGCAGGGACAGCGATTTCGCGGGTGGAAGCGTGAATCCCCCTTGGAGGCGCACCACTAGATGTGTCATCCCCCCATCCTCAGGGACCCAGCGCAGTCCAACTTCAGGCTCCAAGAAAAAAGCTGTATAGAAATCTGGTACCCGAACCGAAACTGCTCAGGTAGGCCCCTTCATGTCAAGGAGCCGTCGCAGCACTTGTAGTGTCGTCGCCGTAAATCCATTTGACCCTGTCACCATTCCTCACCGCGGTATTTTGCGTGCAAGTCGGGCATAAGACAAAGAACCAAAGAGAGGGAGTGGAGGAGCCGGACTGGATTTGTACGTAAGAGGAATGGTTAAAATCACACAGGTCCAGGCCCTTCGAAGAGGAGGTTCTTCGGGCGGATGTCACGGTGGAAGACTTTCTGCTTCACCATGTAGGAGAGTCCCGCTGCCGCCTCTGCGAAGTACGCGCAAAGAACAGTGCCCCAACACTTTGTGCCGCTGGCCCTGGCACCGCTGGAGCCCTGGCCTGCGCCGCCGCGCTGAGCCGGCGTTGCCACAGGAAGTCCTCCCATCACTTTTCGCCGTTTCACGTCAAGTCTGAGGCTTTGCGTTCAATTGCCGAAATTCGCCTTGCTCCGAAGGTGCTGGTGGAGGCTGCCCCCAGACAGGAGTTCGAAGGCCAAGAAGTTCGCGCGCCTGAGCTCGACTCTTTCAGCGGCTTCTAAGGAAGAGCCTTTCGCAAAGCTCCGGACTGGTGCATGGCGAATCCCTGCAGTTCGACCAGGTTTGGGTGGCGGAGGCCTAGGTGTAGCGGATTTTGAGCGGCGTCCGGCAGCGGTAGTGCAGATCCTTCAAGGCACGGATTCCTGGTCCCAAAAATAAGTCTCAGGCGACCAAGTGCCCGAAGCTCGTCCTGAAATCTGTCCCCGTCTCCACCATCCTGAATGACCTCCGCCCCGGTGAGCAGCAATCCACCGAAGATGCAAAAACGCTGTGGATCTCTTCAAGGGTTTTTTGCACTCTGACAATCAACGAGTGGATGGCTCCAACAACCCAGTCTGTTGCCGAGGGCCACAAGCCTCTTCTTCTTGGCAGGGGCCGCCCAGGTCCGATCACAAGCCCTTATAGGAGAATGTTAAGTTCATTCAGCCACGGCCGAGTACGATCTCGAAGGCTTCACGGGGGTGACTCGTCCTCAATCCTGCAAAATTGACAACAAGACATCAGGCAATGCAAGCAACAGAGAATCAGAACGTTCGGAACAACGTCGGAAGCATGAAGAGAGGAAATGCACCGTTCGCAAATAGAACGATCCGCACTTCCTCTCGTGTATATTATATACCCAATCGTGGATATCTTGGAGCAATGAATACGCAACACATCCCACATCGCTGAACGAGGGGAGCACTGCACATAAGGAAACACCTTGTGTCCAACGAAGCAAAACCTCAACAATGAGACGAACAATGCTCGCTGCTGCACACAGCAGTTCGCATGTCGAAGAAGCCCCTCTTCCCAGACCCCCCTGCCAGAAAAGAGTAATTACCGGGGCTCTTCTGTGCTTGCTGCTGCCATACATACTACCCTGAATGGCTACACACGGCAAAAAACGTCTTGCATTTGTCCCCTTGCAAGCGCATCCGCCTTAGAATTCCGCTAGGGGCCTGCCTGGGCCTAGCGGCTAGCGGTCCGCTCTGTTATTCGTCAGCTCAACCATGTTAGAACCGCGTCTGGCCTTGACTGCAATGTCGCTGCCGCGCAACACCCCTCTGTACACCTGAGCTTGCAAGCGGTGACAGGAGCCCGCAACGGCACCGCAGGTGCCGGGCCGAGTCCACGGCAGGCGCGTCGTCATCTCCGAGCCTGTGAGCGAAATTCTGCGTCGAAGCTTCCAGCTCCTGCCACAGAGACACCGAATCAGAAGCCCGAGAGTGTCCGAGAACAGCAAGCCTGGTACTCGTACCGCACCAGCCCCGGTGCCAGCTTCTTTGGCTGACTTCCCGGTGCTACTCCAGGCGGTTCTTCGCCAAAAAACCATGCTCGAATTCCCTGCAACGAGACAAGTTGCATTGGGCAACGGAGTTCGGACCATGCCTCAGCAACTTGCGTCAGCATCTCTGCAGCCTCTGCATCGCGCTCACTGGCAACCTCGACCCGCGAGACACGTCACACAGGCGATGTGACGCTGCCCAACCTGCGGCGTCTCAGCCCACCACCAACGGCCATTGAAGCGCTGCGCTCTGCACGGCTTCTTTCGGTTGCTACCCTGTGCTCCTACATTAGGTCCACTCGTTCGGCAACGGATCGCTTCTTTGGATAACGAAGGCTTTGTGGATCTTCGCTGCTTCCCGCGTTTGCTGCCACTCGGGCTGCCTTTAACAAGGAACCACTACATATTTCTAAGTAGGGCAACTGCGGACGCTGATCGGCCACGGCAGCGGTGGAAGCAGTAAAGAACAAGCTCGGGACACAGTTGTCCTGCGCTTCATGGTCAGCGCAGTTGCTGTTGGCTGCACTTGAGTCCGCACAACACCTTCTTTGCCCGGCACTCATCGTACAAAGCATGTCTCCGCCATACTCTTCTTCATCACCTGCATCGTGTGGCAGCTGGTAGCTGGTGAGGCTTAATTTGTTGAGTATGGACAATTGCACTTGCACAGCCAACTGACGTACAACAAGGGCTACAGCAGGTGTTCCAGACGCGCGAGGGTAGTGTGGCTGGGCTAGGGATGCGAACAGCCGACTTCCAGGAAAGTAGGCCACGTGAAAGGAAGCTCTCCGATTGCACAAGTGGTGTAGTGAGGGAGACCCCGCCAATCGAGTGTCGCGACATAGCGACTGCAACAAAGGCAGCGGGTGTCGGGCGAAAGAGAACGTTCCCTGACCTGCTCTCACTGTACCAGCCAAGACTCGCTTAATGACCCGCCAAGACTTTTTCCTTCATCGGTGCCCTTGAAAATATCTGTCACGTATATTATGCGAGACAGACTACGAGAAACGTCTTGGACGTTAGCCCGGCTCAAAATCCTCAAAATCTCTTTTGCTCCCAATCGAGAGTCTTAGGATCATGTGTCCATAGAATCGAGAGTCTAAAGTGACACGTGGCTGTCTTCATCGGCTGTCGGAGACATCTCTGACGGCGCCCCGCAACATCGAAGCTTTGCTGCCTCGCCTCGGTCGTTCTTCTCATCATGAAACGAGAGCCTATTTCGTCTCTGTGTGATTCGGGCCGCATGGCTTCATCTTATTGGCCGACAGAGTTTTTAACGGAGTTTTTTCTATATCTCCAAGCGGCATTCCCAGTCCAAGAGCGAGAGCCCGAAGATGCAGATCGCAAACGCACACCATGCCAAGGAGGCGCCCAGACTGGTCGAATACGCGATCACGGAGAGCAGAAACCCGGTGATGCCAACCACGGCGCTCACAAGAAAGATGATGACACTTTGAAGCCAATCCTCGGAGACGTCCCATGAACCATCTAGTAGGAAGATCACTTCTCTCAGCACATGTTAAGCACGCTTCCCTGATGCACACAACACTCAGACTCCCGAATGGGACAACTGGGCGTGGGCTGGCAGTTGAAAAAGACATCCTATAGGCATACCTCTTGCCAGCTTTCCCAAGTCAGGCTTCGCAGCAGCCCGGCTTGTACGGAGCGGCAAAGCGTTCGCACATGAAGATGCTCATCCGGATCTGCACCTGTCGCTTCCCGACAGTTGTTTACGACTTCGGAATTCCTCTGGGGCCCGTCTCTGTAGAAGGAGCTACAACCCACTGTAAGGTACCATAGAATGCCATGGCCATCAGAGCCTCACGGCACAACATGGCCCAGCGCGTGCAATCCTGCTCCCTTGGGCCCCCGGTCATGAAGAGTTACATAGACTTTCCTACAGCAAGCGAGGTGCCGCCCCACTGAAGAGGACTGCGCCGAAGAGGATACTGAGGACATAGCAGAAGATGAAGCGAAGCGGCAACCCACTTTTGATGATGCCGAGCCTCAGACATGCTGGCTTAGGAAGCTGTTGCAGAAATCTTTGGCGGTATACCAGCTGGAGCAAATCAGCAAAATCTTCTCTTCGCTTCTTGCCCAGGCGCAAAATGTCAATACCGAGGCTCAGGGTCGGGGATACGATGACGAAGATGTACTGCAGCGGTAAGCCACTGTTGGCCTTGGCCAGCAGCTCCTTTCGTAGAGGACCCCGAACATAGTCTGTGAAAGCTTCCCGACTGCCGTACCAATTCTCAATCGCTTGAAGGACAAACTCCCTGTCGAACTCCTTCGCACACTCCGCCTTGTCAACATCGAAGTTATCCAGTGATGCAAACAGCTCCTGTTTGGCCAACAGATTTCTCCTCAGCACGTGTACCATTATGACGAACGGAGCAATGGCCGGAATCGTCATGAATCTTGGGAGTGCAGCATCAACCATCAGCAGCTGGATGTAAATGATCATAATGGCGCATTGACCCAACCAAAGCATCGCAATCCCGGTCTCGAAGAACAAGGGTGCGAGGGTGATCTTGCCATTTGGATTGATAAACCGGTAGGCCGCTATTTCGAAGACGCACCAGAGTCGTGACCTCGCGAAAAATTCCAGTACTTCCTTCTTCGATGCCAACTTACGCATACGTACACGAAGCAGTTAGACACCGTCGTGCCGAGGCCCCCAGAGATAGGAACGCAATCACGTTGCAGCTAGAAAATGCAGAAAAAGGTGGCTCAAACAGGCCAGGACACAAGTAATCACATCACACACGAGGTTGGGTACAATGCAGAAAACTACTACAGACTGCAGGAACGGAAACTTCGTCGAGAGCCCTCGGTACCTGCGTCGTGCTCTTGTGTTCTTGTGTTGGGTGCCAGCGTCGTGCTTGCTGTTCCGCTCGGCTGCCGCTAGTGACAATGTCATATTTACGATTGCTCTTGTCGTGGTGGTGCTGCTTTCTTGCCCGTACTTGCTCCCTTGTCGTGGCACTGGTGCACTGACTGCCGGTGCTGCTGCTGCCCTTGTTATTGCTGTTGAGGCGGCCCAAGTTTGCTGCTTAGTAGTCTCTCATTCTGCAATGCTGACTCAGTGTCGAAGATGATGATGGCTGTGCGCAGCTATGAAACTTAGGCTCTTCCAGCTGTTTTGCCATGGCATCTTTGCTTTAACTCTTAGCCTGTTGCTGTGTGCGGCAGGTTAAAGAACGACGTAGGAAAGCGAGTTCCAAAGGGCAAGCTGCAAGTATGGCTTCGACCAGAGGATGCGCAACTCCTTGGAGACCTTGGAATATTCGGCTCAAGTTGGGGCATCCTTTGGGAACTGAGGCCTCTTTCATCCACGCAAGTCTCGAGCCAGGAGACTGCCAAGCATCCTCCGAGGCCTGAGCATCGGTTTTCCGGCTTAGGCCATGATGCTTTTTACTGCAAACTTCGATGGATACACAGGACATTCGACCCTGGGTGGTCCACCGTGGATTCTCGCCAACATGTTCAAGCTTGACTTAGGAAACGACAGTGTAAGACGGACTGGCCAGACACGGTCTCTGCTTACCAGGAGGTCTTGAGTCTTGACGTTGGGTCAGCCCTGGCCTGGTCTGAAACAGCAGCTTGGGATGCTAGCAGAGGACGCCCTAAACCGGGCCCATGTCTCGCTTCGCCTAGATGCCCAACACAAGAAGAAGTCCTATCAGTTGAAAGTGGTTCTTGCGGCGAGTTGCCTCCTCTCCGTCCACTAAACCCAAGCCAAGTGGCCATAAATGCCCCTCTCCATCAACTCCTCATCCACTTGGTTAATGCCTCGCAGTGCTAGTGCTGTGGGTTTGCAAGGCTTGCCGACCTGCAACCCTTGCTAGCCCGCCGGGCTTTGAAAGGAGCCGTACAGTTGCTACGAAGTTCTCCGACTCCGGGCTTTAACGCGGTCTTTGGCTCTTCGAGCTCTTGCCCAAACTGAACAAAACTGAATCGTGGATACCCTGGCGACGAGAATTCATGTCGGGACTTTGTGAGATCGACTGGACCACTGTGTTCGCGAGCTGATAGTCTGAAACCTTTCGCGGTCTCAGATACTGTAACTGTAGTGGTAATTGTCATGCGAGCACATTGGAAAGCTCTATTGATCTATTGAGTCAGAAACTGTACAACGACGATGCCTGCCAACATTTAACCTGAAGCTCTTGATCGTATACAGGCTCCATGCTGCAAGTAGGGTTAGTGTCCTCGAAGGGCCATCATGTCAGGTATCTTGTGCTGTGGGATTTTGCTCTCGGATTCGACAAACTCTAAGTGGCCAAGATACTGACAATGTCTAGGAAACAGTCTTTGGCGCCCCCGGGAGCTGCAATGGCCATGACCACGGGTGCGAGGTTTGCCAAGAAGAGACCCCAGGCTCCTGAACTAGAGAATGCTACAGAGCACCAAGTAAAATCTGCTCTCCACTACCACCACCGTTCCTCATTGCATGCTGCTTTCTGTCTACATGTCATACCTTGTCAAGCCTGACACGCAGACCCTAACTCGCTTGACGCCGGCACCCGACCCCGCGCTCCAAAAGGGAAGACATAGCTGTCGCCTTCGAAGACAGCCTGGGCTTTCTCACTCCGCTCGGGAGGACTCCCAACCGAAGGATTCTGCGTCCTCTACCGGGTCTTGGTGTCCGGAAACGGCTTTGGATGCTCGTTGGCCACCAGTTAGAAGTCGCTAATCACGAGGACAGGTCCGGGATCCAAAGCCGTAGGACGACGACCCTACTATGAAAGGGTGGCAGCCGTCAAGTATCCACTGCACAATTATTAGCCGAGGCACTGTGAAGTTCATATGGAACGGAAGAACATCAAAGAAAGTTAGAGTCTCCACGAGAATCATTGCGATGAGCCAGCTAAGCAGGAGCCGCTGCCATCCACATTGCAGTGTCAAAGCTAAAAACTTCCACAAGCCTCCGGTTCGCCAAGTGTGCGATAAAAACAGATCAAAGGACTCCATCTGCCTTGAACGATCCCACATCGCAGCCCGAAGTTCTTCGGACAGGTCCATGGGAGAGCGGCGCCAAAGCCGACCGAAACCCCTCAGTGTATCTTTAACGGAAACACCACGAAGGATGTCGAGGTCTGGAACCAACGCGTGGCGCAAAAGCAGGCTGCGTTTCGACCTTTGTCCGGGCACAGGTCCATCGCCAACATCGACCTGAGCCTGCGAGTCATCTGGGTTGGGAGCCTGCGGTGCAGTTATGGAGGTCACCTCAACATCAACTTCTTGGTCTTTTGAGCAACCATGGCAGGCACTCGCTGTGCTTGTGGTCGCTCCCATGGCGCTTTGCTGCGTGCCCCGGATGGCTGCGGCACAATTCTTCCAAAAGCGCTAAACTACCGGCCTTCTGCCCAACTGACTCGAAAACCAGCTTATAGGACTGTACCTTCACAGATCCAAGACCCAACAGGTTTCTGCAGTCGCAGAATGTATCTCAATGTATATATGTACGTACATTAACATCATCATGCATGAACACGGACACACATACATACATACCAAACATTCATACAAACATACATACATACATATACACACATACACACATGTGAGCGCTCATGTGTGCAGAAGTTACATAGTTATTACATGCGTAGGTTTCTACATACTGATACATATGCATGCAAATTCAAACACATGCATGCGGGCATGATACTCTGGGCGGCATCTTCCAAAGCACCTTCTTGCTGAGGTTGCGAAGCAGACTCCCTGCATGTGCCTTGAGCTGGAAGGCTTTCGATTCAGCGCCTTTGCATGGCTTTCGAATGGTGCAGGATCTGATGCGTGGCCCCTTAGGTCCCGGGCCGCCAAGTGCTGGAACATGCCAGAAGTGTCTCCACCATCTTGGACCTACGATTGGCGAAGGGTCAGTGCTTGCAGGGCAAATGCCCAACCCTCCCTGGCGCTGTGTTCATGCCGAGGCAGACTTTGTCATGGCAGCGTTTTGTAAGCCGCCCACCCTTCGCACCGCAGCTGACGAACTTTAATCAGCATCCTGCGGCACCGGCATGACAGTGGACGAGGATGCAGCTACCTAGCACGGGCATCAGCATGATGGAGCCTCTGAGTCCGATGTCACACCGTCGTCTTTGCCGGCCTTAGAGAGAGAGCGACAGAGAGAGCAAGAGAGATAGAGAGGATGGACTCGACTCACTTCTACACTTCTCACGTCTCAGAGAGTTGACACCTGGGCTCTCCAGCAAGGGACACTGGACGCAGTGTCACGAAAAGCAAATGACTTGTCACAGTTTGGGTATGCTGCTTTTTGGAATGTCTGAGCAAGTATTTCGTTCTGGGTTGGCGCTGAGAGCTGTTGCAATGAAGCTTGCCTTTCCTACCTCAGACTACCTATACCGACACTAATCTTCAGCAACTTCCCTCTGGTGGTTGTCCTGGGCTGGTGCCTTCCCCTGAGCTCAGTCGAGTTCTTGAACTGGAAGTATTTCAGCCATTATAGCTACAGCCCTAAATCCTGCATACGGTAAACCCTCGGCCTTTTGGTCCAAGCCACCAATTCTATGGTGACTTAGACTCATACCATCCTCTTGTTGGCTTGAGAGTATCCATCTTTTGGACACGAGATCTACTGAATCTACTACATGAAAAACGTAATTAGGTATCTTAGAGAGAAGGCGAAGTATGCAACTGTACCAGAAAACAAAAGTTTTTGAAGACTACCCCACCGAGAGCCTTGAAGACTCATGCTACCCGCGAGTGTATGAACCATACAGATTAACAAGCCCGCCCTGAATAAACGGGACCAGCTCGCGCTCGGGTTCGGGTTTGCTTGAGTTTCAATTGACCCCCCGCTGAAAAATCTCAAGATCAACGCCCCGATTGGACGGGCTCGTCCCCCCGAGAAAAGGAACGCCGATGCCTGTCTGGGGTTCCAGGAAGCGATGACAAGACAGCTCTGCTGCGGCCCAAACCGAAGCCCTACAGATCCCCTTTCCTTGGGGCGACCCCGGAGCTGGGGGTGCTGATTAGAAGGGCCGCATCCGGTTCTGCGGATGCGGTGCTGGGTTTCTTCCAAGAAACGACGAAAGAAAGCTCTGCTGCGGGCCAAACCGAAGCCCTCCAGAAAGTAAGGATCTTGTCATCAAAGGCCTCTTACACAGGAAGCTCACCAGCAGTCACTAGAAAACTCTTCGGCGCCTTCAATCTGAGAAGTTCGGCACGGCTATGTGCTTTTCCCGGGGAGCCCGTGCAAACAGAGAAGGAAGCTGGGGCCCTGATCGGGTTTTCTGGCTACTGTACTGTACTTGAACCGTAAGTCTACCGTGCTACTGCCGTCCGCCAAACCCCTAAGCATAATGGTGACGCAGCACGTGCATAATTGGACTCTATAATCATTGAACCATTGTCGTGTTTGTGTTGCACTTCCATGCTCGACGCACAGCCGCTGATTTGGTTCCGTTGCATCTACTCGAGAGCGCGCTCGCATCAAGATGAGAAAAACAGACGCATGCCAATTTAGATCCAACGCGCACGCGCTTGGACTCAGGAGATGCAAGAATGCGTTGGATGGTGAGCCTGCCCATGACCCATTTCTACCACTTGAAGTCTATCAGAAACATGTTCAGTCGTAAGGTGTTTCAACAGTGTCTGTTCAGCATTATCGAGCTGCGCATGTCTCAGAATTAGAAATAGATCTTCGTTACGACCACCACATGAAGGGCCTTGGTAAGTGCGGTACAACAGGGCTCCGGGTTTCAAGTTACGGGGTTTATCTCCTTTCCGCTTCCCTTCGATGCTCACGAGCCACCCTCTCTTTCCAAACATGAAAGCATGTCTTCAGCCCTGGGTCAGGGACGAGCAGGTCAGAGACTTCCGCGACACGCTCCAGGCTTGCGAGAACCTGGTGTTGCTATTGTTCTCATTGGGGCCTGGGCTTTCGAAGCTGCAGGGGAGCAGCCTGGGGGATGAGACTTGGCTGCGACCGCGCCCATGTCAAAGCCGGCTCACCGAACCTCAGGGATGAAACTGGAAACGCAAGCATCCTGACATGAGAACATCTCTCCTAGTTCTTTGGTCTCGGCTCCAAGCTTGTGCCATCGGAGACCAATTTGGCGCAGGCACATCTCCCGCAACGTACAAACCGGCGTGGGCCGCCGGCAAGCACCTGCAATGAGTTCCCTTAAACTTCGGACGATTAAGCGCCAAAGGCTGACATCAGAAGCCCTGACATGCAACTGAAGCTGCTTAATTGGGCCTTTGAAGCCCAATCCTCGGAAGAAAGGATGCTCCTGTGCCCAAGAGATTCCAAGCTTTTCCAGGTGACCCGGGCCTTGGGGGCTGCTCTCCTCCACTTCTCGCAAGTCCTTTGCACCCAGTCGGGCGTCTGGATCCTGTCTGGATGATTTTCGCCAGGCTAGCCAAAAAAACAGGCACAACTGAAAACACCACCTTGACCACCATACTTTGGATCAGGTCAACAGCATCGTCTTTCAGCCATTTGCTGGGAAACTCCAAAACACCTTTACCTGATTCAATGTCATTTTTCACTTCTGGAACACCAGCTTTTGGAACTTTCCCTAACGGATTAGACTCTCGGAAGCAGGCTGATCTTCTTGTAGACTCGAACGATGGACCTGCGGGCTTCCAGCGCACCATCCTGCTTTAGGCAAGTGCTGCTTGAGGTGCCGACCCACCATGAAAGGGCGGAAGACCAACGAGAACTTGGAATACCTGCAACAGGAATGCAGCCTTCTTACACCTCCATTCAAGCCAGAGGGCGAGGGACCAGGCATCCCAGTGACCAGGTGTCGGATCGAAAGTCGGAAGACACGTTCTTCACCACCTGAGCAGCTAGGCCGGCGCTTTGATGCGGCAGGTTGGCGTCAAAAGAACAAGCCTCCGGAGCCATGAAATTTGAAGTCCCCACGTACTCCTGGATACATGCAGGTAGAGCAAGTCCAATTCGGCGACCACTCCCCAAACAACCGCCATAAACAGAAGATATACAAAGACGTTTGTTTTCATCTGCTGGTGGTCAAGCATCACCTCTGGCTAGACAGTCGGCATTATGACCGTGAGCTCGAGAGGGCAAGATCACTGCCGGTGTCGGAGGGTGGGATATAATTTCGGTGTGAAATTGACCGAACTCGAGAGGGCAAGATCACTGCCGGTGTCGGAGGGTGGGAGATAATTTCGGTGTGAAATTGACCGAACTCGAGAGGGCAAGATCACTGCCGGTGTCGGAGGGTGGGAAATAATTTCGGTGTGAAATTGACCGAAAACGGCTGCGAACACACCTGTTTCAGCACCCACCAACCACACTCCCCAAACAACCGCCATACGCAGAAGTGCAAAGACATATGTTTTCATCTGTTGGTTGATCTGATTCGAACGGCCCAAAAAACAGATGTGCTTCCCACCCGGCGTGAATTGGTTTGCTTTCGGGTGAAACTGGATTCTTTGATCATCCACAACCCTATCCCTCACAGAAAACATGATTTCACAGCGGGGTTTCAATGCATTGGTCAGGAATAAATCTGAGCAGTCTGAGGGGAACAACTTTCTACCCCAGATCTGCGTCAACGAGCATGGCGAACTTCCCGCACTCATCGGGATGTAGCCTGGGTCTCGTATCGGCTGCGGCCTTGACAATTCCTGAGAACCCTGGCCAAGAAGATCAAAACATTTAAGTGTGTCGGGACACTAAGACTCTGCGGGAGGGATGGGCAGGAGAAGAAATGGAGCACAGGCTTGAGCTCACTTCCGGAAGAGATGCATGCCAACGAATCACGTATGCACCATTCCCTGCCACTCCAAAACACACATGCAGCTCTGTTGACACCTTGTCGGCGCCAGCCCAAAAGCCATAAAGATTCATAGTCGGAACGGTATGTCCGATGTAAACAGCGCTTCCGAAAATTGTACCAGGGACACTTTGACGTGGCGTGCTGCAAATGCTGCCCCTTATACGACAGCGGCACTAAGCCCGACCCACAAAACCGCGTGAGCGCGGGTATCCCGGGCACAAGCGGCGTCAACTCAGCCGGCCCGTTTGGCCGCATGGCGGCCGCACTGCTGGGCCGGTGGCCAGGCTTCTGTCCCCACTCGAATGGAAATGCGGAAGCACGGCCTCTTGTGGAGGTCTCTGCCGCTCGTTGCAGGCATTGTGCCATTCGATCCAAAGGAATACCGCTTCTAAGTCTGCGGCCAGGGGCGTGGCAGACTGGTTGACATGGGTGGACGCGGCCTCTTGCTACCATGTTGATGTGCGGTCGCTGCCGGCTGAGGTGCCCAGATGACCCTGGCGTTGGGCCCTGGGAGTTGACCTTGTCCCTTACGATGACGCGATTTCGTTGAGCACAGGGCTTCTGCCGCGACTCTCGCGAGGTGCGTTCGTTGTCAGGACCACAGTCTCCCTCCGCCGAAGAATAGTTTCGCCAGCCCCCGGGCGTGTGTAGGTCCCCTTGTTTGGCGCGGAGCTGCTTGTCGTGGAGGTAGAGCGCGCCGTTTCGGGGATGGGTTGCTGTTCGCGCAACAGCGCCCCATCATGGTTCTTGTGTCAGCATTTGCCTGGCGTGCATGCTTCCCACGCCCGTTCCGGGACCATCGGGCGTGATCCCCAGTTTCAGGAAGGAAACCCGCCTTGCCCAAGTCCCCAGTTCTTTTGATGCCCAGCCAGGTGAAGACGCCTTTGGGGCAGGGCCCACCTGTTCCAGGGAGTTGGCTTCCGGTTGCCTTGGGCGTGGCAAGTCTTGGCGATGCCGAAGTCCACCTCTCCAACCACGTGAACTCCTCCGACACAACTATCAGCCCGCTAAGAAAAGGGGGCCGAAGAGTCGCGGGAAAGAACCTGCTTGTGATCTTGTCTTGAAACCAGATCGCCATGAACACAGCTGTTTCACTCCCCACCATCCACGCTTCAACATTGTCACTACAACAGCCGCGGGCTAATGTTTTCCCCACTGTTCCGTGTCAAGCTCATGTAATGAACCATGATGTTGGCTGAATCCAGGGGCGATCCTCCATGACAGTCTTGAAGTTTCGAGTGCCCGCTCCCTTCACCTGCAGCAGGTCTCCCGATGCGAGAAGAGGTCTATAGAATCGTCGCACTTGCCTGCGGGTTCGCCAAATCCCTGGCGCTGCCAAAGTCAATGAGCTTGCAGTTGCCTTGCCCATGCCAGGGTGGAGTAGGGGGCAAAGCCTCAATTCGCAGGCCTGCCTCGCGGTCCAATGAGCACGTTCTCTGCCCTGCAGTTCACGACTTTACTTATCCTTCACATAAGTTTGGCCGACAGCTAACCACTTGCGCGCAATGAATTCCTACGGCCTGTGGCTTAGAGTGCTGGGGCTTCAGATATACAGGATTTATCATGGCGACCTCTGTCGGAAGAGAGTTGCCACACCGAGCTCGCCCTGGCTTTTGCCCGACAACCGAAGCCGAGGCGCTTCAGATCCCTGTGGACAATCCGCGCATCTCTCAGGTACTGGACCTCATATCGTCGCGCTTCAAAGGGAAGATCAGCTGCAGGAGCAGGGACCCAGGTCGCTGGCTGCTTCGAAGACCTGGCAGAGGCAGTGCCTGCGCATGGAAGCAGGCTTTTGAGCGGCTCCGCTGATTTTTGCCGCTGCGTTCCCGGCCTCGCAAGGCTCTCTGGGCAGCCGACGGCACGGGACAGGCTCCAGAGCTCGCCCTCGTTTTATGCGACTCTCTGTTCGGTCAAACTTAGGCACCCGCCGGGGGGGCGAACTCCGGGACAGAGCTCCAAAGTAAAGTAGTGCCACTCCTACGTCGCTTGCAGCGTCTTGCGAAAACTGAGAACTTTCTCTAAGTTGTTGCTGCGCGCCTCGTCTCTGAAGGACGCATGAAGCTTGACCTTTTTCAAAATCAGCGGACAAGGCTCAGTGCACTGGCAACCCCAAGGCCATTGTACAACAGGTCCATAAACATTCGATCCCCAAATGTCGCTATAGCTGTAGCTTCAGTGCTTCTTATCGTTTTTGCCCATGAAATTTCGTTGTGTTATCGATTTTCTTGTCTCCTTATCGTCCATCCAGAACCGGACGGGGACATGCCGCGACATGTCAAGACCCAACCTGAAGGCAAACTGCGGGGTTAGTCTACAATCCCGGTGGCAACACTGGCCAAGGAGAGCGACTGAGTACGGTGCAATGCCGGGATGGTTGGCTCTCCGCAAGCAGTGCTCCTGAATAGTATAGTAGAGAAAATCCCACTGAAGTGGGATCGAGACGTGGAAGGGCTCTCTAGGTTGAATCTGAGCGAACAGAATTGGGGTCATGCTGCGATTCCAAGGGGGATCCTCGATAGTCACGTCGGCTTCCTTGTGGTTGCTCCGCAGTAGTCTGCGATCGAAGGCCTGCCCACCACACACCCTGACTCCTCAGGGATCTTTACTTCAACTCCAAGCCTTCAGAGCATACCTCTTGCCGGTGGCTTTCTCCTGTGCCACACGCACCAATGCTAGGGAGCCGTCGCCAATGACCTTCGATTTTTCAGTTGCAACAACTCTAAGAATCGCTGAAAGACTTCTACAAGTTGCTTCCAGCGGCCTCGCCTCCGGATCCACGTCGAAGTCTGCCAAGCGCCGACGTGGTTTGGGTGGAAGCGGGAACGACATCTCCAAGGCCTCCTCGGCCTCATCTCCTTCCGCACGACACGAAGTCGGCGCAAGAAGAAGCTCAAGTCTTCTTCCCTGCCTTGAGAAGCCTAGGGCCTAGGGCATGGCCCCACGTTGCATCATGAAGCTGAACAGTGCGGAATATACTTGCGTTCCTCAGTCCTCTTCTTGTCTAAAATCCGGCTTGAACCGACTCTCCAAGTCGGAATGCAATGCAACAGAAGGCGCAGTGGGTACTTGTGTGCGTCAAAGACGCATCTTCTCTCACTACAGGCCAGTGGTTTGCGTGCTGTCTCGGACCTGCCAGAAGAGTTTGATCGTTCGCAGTCGGCATGCAATCGGAAGTGCAAAATCGTGCTTCGGCATCACGGCATCATTGGGCCTTCGTTTCTCGTTCTTCGGGGCCATGTTTTGGAGGGCATTAGACCCTCGTATGTGCGGAATTCTGATTGGAAGATTGTGATCTGTACGTAAAAGCCAAAAAGAGAAGAAACTGAAATACCATCAACGATCACCAGACAAGAGTTGTCGGCAGTGCTGCGGCTAAATGACGGGGATGAGCCCTGAAAGGAGAATGAGCACCGAACTAAAATAGGCTCGTGATGCTTGTGCGTGGTGACCGCGCAAAGCAGCATGGGCCCGATTGGTCTCCTGTTCGGGATCTCTGAGTCTCTCTCTGGGATATGGAGGGCCCTCCTCAAGCGGCAGGGGCCCGTGCAGCGAGGCCCTAAAGTAATCTAGCAAACGACCTGGCAGTTTGGATATGTAATTCATGAATAAAGGTACGACTACGTTAGGAATGTTGGTAGGCTGCAAATTCGACCTTTGCGGCATATGTTTGAGGTTTTGATACGCCCAGCGCCTTCAGGAATTCTTGACCCTGCAGCACAGGTGGCACACTTGGACGAAGGTTCTGTCACTGTAACTGCAGTGTGGATCAAAGGGGGTGGCCTTTCGGTGAGTTAGCCTGTCCAGCATGCCAGCGTAGGGGCATGGGGAAGCACCGCGCAGTTTTCGTGACGTCTCCAGCTTGCCTCCATCAAAAAACCAGGGCCTGCCGGAGCCAACTCTATAGGTATCGGTCTTGACTTCAGGCTACGGGCGGTGCGGGCCCCTCATCCAAGATGATTCAGTGAAGTCGAGATTGCTTCGACGTGTTTCGAACTGCTCAGTATCACCTCACAAAACGTTACATAATCCAGGAGCTTCTCGAAGTAGAACAGGATGGGTCTCCCTCGTGCGGCTCGTCAGCATCAACATGCAAAGTCCCATTCTTGTTTTTCGGGCAGGAGCACAGCCGTCAGTCATCCGTGATGCTCCGCACGGTTGATGGCTACAGCATTCAGAGACCAGTCAAGCAGCCCTCGTTCCAAGCATTGCAGTGCGTCCAGCTAAGTCCAGCGCAGCTTTCAACACGGATGACTGTGAAAAAGGAGAGAGAGCAGCTTTAGAGCTTTGCTTGGCTCTTTGTGGGTCTCATCAATCGCTGCAGCTCTGTGCTCGCGCGGTCATATGGATTCGTGAAACTGGCCGGGCTCCCCAGAAAGCTAAGAGACCTGTCCGGCCTGCCGCCTGTGATATGCGAAGGGCCGCAAGGGCCGAAAACTCTGAGACTTTTTTAGGCTCGGTCAAGGCCTAAAGCAGCTTCACGATCTCCTCTTCGAAGGACTTCGGCGACTGCACAGGGCCACCACGGCAATGCCGCGACTCAGATGCAGACATGGGATAACCAAGCGGCAGCAGCGCTCACCAGGTTTTCGTGATGAGTAATCGGAGTAGCAGTGCGTGGCGACATGGCAGTCGTGGTTGTGTTCGTTGTCGATATCAGCAGAAATCAATGTAGAAACAGCAGCAGCAGCAGCAGCAGCAGCAGCAAAAGGTAGCAGTCCCAATAATGGAAAAGAGTTTGTCAATGCTGCACTGCTCAGGCAAAACAACTGCAGGTAGTGAGTCCCTTTTTCTTGGTTGGGGAAGGCGGGGGGTCCCTATGAAGCAAGCTTTCAAATTAGAAGCAATTGTCGTCAACATCATTCTCATCGCTGCAGCCATCGCCAGCAAGTCCCACCATCATGAGAAACTGCAGCTTTCTGCCTGCTGCGGCCCGAAGCGTGCCACAGGCTGTCCTTGACGGTCCTCAGTAAAGGCTGGCACATCCTTGAATTGTCGGCCAGATGCCGCGAATCTGCACGGTTTGTGATTATGTTGGCCCCGCTGGTGATTGTGATGAGCCTTGTGATCTCAATTCAACAGAGGCCAATTGCTCTTGAAAAAGCAGACGGTAAGAAGAGCCCCGTGCCACCAGGAACTTGGCAAAGTTCCACTTGATGTCGCTTCCCAGCCTGCTGCAGCAGAGTCGACCCTCTGCCAAGCGGTGTTTAGCCGAGGCCGGAACAGCTCTCCCTGTCGGGCTTTCAAGAAGGTGTACAAAGGAGCCTGTGGCTCACCAGCTTTATGAATGAGCCTCTGTGCGTCACTGTTAGGCCTCGTTGTCGCCGTTGACGTCAATCTTCGCGAAGAGGGGGAAGGTGTCCGGGCACTTGGACTGGGCAAAAGCCTTCCGGAAGCCGCAAACTCCACACTTGGACCAATATTAGAAACGGTTGAGCACCATCGGCACGAGCCTTGACCTCGGCATTGGTGCCCGGCTCCTGACTTATGATGTGTTGCAGGTCCGACATGACCGTGACATGACGTTGCCCGCCTGGCCCCCGAACTGGTTGCAGGGAAATCCAAGCACCTCCACCAAACACCGGTTGGCAGCACTATGTGCTGTCTGCTGCACGAAGAGATTTTACGAGAGGCAGTGCTTTGGGGAAAATCGCTGGATTCCTGCTGGGACATGATCTTCTGCAAAGCGAGCCTCGAATCCTCGAGATCGGTACTTTCCATAAAGTTCACACCTGGCAATTTCGTTTCCTGCGACCGTTCGGTAAAGGCTGAGCAGGAAAAGGCCGGCGCAGGTTTGCTCAGCCCATGACAATTCAGCATAATTGGTCTTTGTCAAACCTTGCCAGGTTCCACGGACATGAGAAACCGCACACGGAGCAGACATGGAGCAGGTGCCTCATTTGCTCGCCAGATTGACGATGAGCACCACTTTGCCCGAGTATTCCTGCAGCGAGACCTCCTGGCCATCGATGTTCTTGACCTCAAAATCAAAATCGGAACGGAGCTGCAATGACTGCAGAAACGAAGTCGCCGCAGCGCCTGGAAGTCGTAGATACTGTCGCCAGCCACTTCCTGCTCTGCCCAACCAGAAACCCGTGTGCATTTTTGATTGAGACTGATTGATGCTATGCAAGCTAGGCCCGAACGAAGTCGTTTCCTCGTTTCTTCTTGATTCAGATAGGATAGGGCTGGCTTACAGGCATGCATGTCTGTCTACACGGACATGTGCATCTATATTGACTTTGTGTCAGCATGTCTAGCTATCTACGGTTTGGGCAAAACAATGGTTTTCTTTCCGTATATCTGTAGGAGGGTAGGTAGGTAATTACGCAGGCTGGTTGCGTTGGCAGATGTAGGTAGTTCGGTTGGTTGTGTAAGTAGGTAGGTAGGTAGGCAGGCAGGCAGGCAGGCAGGCAGGAAACACCCAGATCACAATTATTGCGGTTTATCCCGACTGTTGAGGGTTGTCAGCAAGCGGCGGGGACATAGGTGAGTGATCTGCATAGAACATGATGCTCCCCTTCATCAGGGAACCGAACCTGCTGAAGACGTCACATTTTCTTGCGAGTTGAATCTCAGACTGACGCCAGAGGGGATTTGCACGCACAGGATGAAGCTCTCGGATTTCGAGTTTCCCGTATATGCTTCGGACACGGCTTTCGCTCATGGTGCCATTGCCGCTGCTCTCAAGGCAGTATGACTCAGCATGGGTGATATTATGCCCGGGATGTATTTGAGATGTTCCGTGGCTAAGCTCCAAGAAACACAAAGCGCAACAGATCTGGACAAGATGGGCTGGGAAAGTCTTTGAATGCAGTAGCAGCTTCAGTATTCAGAATTTTGTTGAATACATATCTTGTAGAACTGTCTGTTTGCCCGAATTTGAGCATTTCAACTATTTACCCATTCATGGTGTGGTGCTATATACATGTGTTTGTTCTACGCTGTCACAGTCTGCAACCTCCGTGTGGAAGCTGGTGCTGATACACACAGCGTGAACGATGACGGCAAGACAGCCCGAATATTCGCATCCAGCAGAGGCAACTTGGAGAATGCACGTTTGCTTGAACTAGTCTTCCTCAGGAGGATCGCATGTGTGTGTGTGACCCTCCCAATACCAACGGTTAGGACGTGATAGCAGCAGGGGAAACCAACACCCAGGAGGACAAGTACTAGCATGGGGAGACAAAAGCTCTCGCTCACGAGGCAGAAGTGAAAGAAGCCACACACTCCACATCGTGGAACGGCTTGGGATGACATTGGATGAAGTGGTCCCTCGTGCACCGCCGAGCCAGGAATGTCTTTGAGAGAATCTTCAGTCTGTCGAGACTTGGATGATCCCTGAAGAGGATCTCCCATCTTGCCAGCATAGTGAAAAGCATCCCTGAGACGATCGACGATCTGCGTTCTTCTGAACGCTGTGTTTACCTTCTTTTTGGTTTCTTATCGAGCCATCTCGTGGATTTCTCATGCAGCTTTCTCAGATATATCAAAATCAGTCATAGATCCTGGCAATTTCCGAAACGTCAGAAGTCTTGTTGAAAGGTTTCGAAGTCGGAATTGAAATCAAGAAACTGTGTCCAAAGTGAAGTGTCCTGGGTAGCTCCTGGCAGCGAGAACTTCTTCTAAAGTTTGCGCCATGTTTCAAAGCCGCTCGACTCGGTCTTTGTTTTGCCCACCGATACGTTTCGTTGAATCCTTCACAAGATACAAGATGCAAACGCCACTGTCTTTTCTCAAAGCCCACGTACGTGTGCGTGCCATGAGGCGCTTGAGCGATCGGCTCTTTCACAAGTTGCGAAAATGTAGCTTCCGAGAGACAAGTACTCGATTCGCGGTCGCCTCGGCATCAACATCACCTGTGTCAACTATACTTGTAATACGTCATGGGTGCATTGGTCACTCATCAATTCGGCTTGGTCACGCAAAGCTACCGCACCCGTTTCGAACATCCAGATGTAAGCTTTAGCACTTCATGACCACTCATCCCAATCAGCAGGCGGGCCGCTACAAGTATCCGGCAAAGTCTCCTTCGCCTGTTAGGGCCATGCATTGCTACCAACCTTCCTTGGAGCCGTCATCTCCGCTACCATGCGAAAGTACGCTGCTCCAGGAATCTACACACAGAAGTGTGCAGAGCTCGCTCAACTCAGGAAGCCAAACCAACCTTGAAAGCTCACACAGCGCCTTTCGGGGCAACACACTTTAAAGTGCACGGGGTCTTGAGCCACAGGATGTGGCAAAGTTGGCTCTGGCATGTTAGTCTCTCTCACACACACACAAGCATACATGCATGCATGCATGCATCCGTTTATGCCATACTTACATGCATACATGCATACATGCAGACATACACACGCCCACCTACCCACCCGCCCGCCCATCCAATACCTACCTACCTACACCCAATGACATCACATGCATAGTTAATAGTGGGTTTGTACATGTGTCGTAGGCAGTTAAGCACAGGCTGTTCGTGCGGCAGTATAGACATTTGTAGTCGTAACAGTTCATCCACATCAATGCGTCACATGGCGTACGAACTTATGCGAATATGCTCCGGCAGAAGGTAGCACATCGATCGTCGTGTCATGGCGAGGCCTTGCTGCTGCCACCACCCATGAGCTCACGAGCAACTCCTGGGGATCGCCTGCGGCTGATGAATTGAAGCGGGACGTCCTAGCCAAGAGGTTGTAAGGGGCCGAGAGCACAGACCTTTTCTGCTGTGCGGGCCAGCGCCGACCCATAAGAGGGAGAGTCTCATGTCCCGGCTGCGGGGTGGCTCTCGAAAATGTAAGGGGATCAGCGCGGGTAGCAGACGTAACTCACTTGAGCCGCTTCTGAGCCTTCCGAAGTGTCGCAGAATCCTGGCGCCACACGACATTGCAGGGCTCGGCACATGTACTCTCTGTCCGCACCTCGGCCAAACACCTGCTGCAAGTGCACGTGAAGCCATATTCCAGAAGCCTCGGGTCAAGTCACAAGAAACGATTCTGCTTTTAATTTAGGACCACGATGTTCTCAGTCATTGCACCTGCGTCTGCGTGTTTGAACATCTGCCTCCTCGAAGCGTCTTTAGCACAGCGATGTCAACAAACATGCAAGACTGATCATGCCTGGTTGACGTAGCAGATACACAGCTCATCACCCGGCGAGATGTTCAAGACCTGACTGTGAGGGTCTACATATGCAATGTTGAGGGTGGCAAAACGCGAGGCGACCCGCATGATACTGGCACGAAACTGACCTCATGAAGAAGCCCTGGTCCTGAACTCTTAAATCATCATAGGATCCAAACCCAGGGCCCGAATAAGACCCATGGCCTTCGTAACCGGGTTCCTAGGATTCTGGGCACGAGGCGGAAGTCGCCGTCAAGCGGGCCGAGTTTCCTGGAAAGGCCACCTTCTGGCTGCACACCGTTTCTTGAGAAAGTGGGAGTTGCATACGCTACTGATTCTGCAAGGGACCCTCCTACATAACTGGCGTGCGGTCAGGTTACCTTCATGTTGGGCGCACCTGGGCAGCGCAGAGATGCGATGCAGTGCAAAGCGCGACAAGTGACGCTGGAAGGGTCCGAAAGCGCCGGCCAAGGCGCATGAATGGTTCATGCGAGCAACCTCGCAGCTGCGCGTGTGACTTCCATTGCAAGATTCCTTCTCCCGGGCACGGCACTGAAGCGAAGAGCGCCGTCCCGTGCATTTGTGGCCACACGCCCTGGGAAGGAGACTCGGAGAAAGCTTCTGCCAGCTTCTGCTTCTGCCACTCCTCTTCCGGTCCCTGCCTGAAGCAGCTGCTCGAGGGAGAGTGCGGCAACTTCTGCGGTGGCTTGGGCCATGGCCGCCTTAGAAAACTCTGGAGTCAAAGCTTTGAAGCGGATACATCCCGTGCTGGGCCAGCGGACACTTGCAACCTCGGCATCGTTGCCCCGCTCAGCAGCCTCTCCCGCAGTGCCCGCAATTTTATAGACAGCGCTCCTCTCAGAGGTTCCCCCCTTATAAAGTAGAAAATGCGCCTTCATGAGGCTGTCCATCGGCTCGGCATCGCCCACGTTCGCCACGTCGGCCTCGTCGCCTCGAGACTTCAACGGAGTTTTGGGGCGAAGGCCTCGTCTCCCCTCACAACGAGGCGGGGGCCGAAGATCCCGGTCGTCTCCTGAGGCCCAGGTCCAGGGGTCTTTGGACCGGTCTCTTGGACGAGGGTTTAGGGTTTATAGGGTACTAGGATATTAGGGAAGTAGGGCATTATAGGGCCTTAGGTCAAGGGAGCTCTGGGCACTCGCTGAGGAGCAACGTAGCATGGGTCGGGTCCGCCAACCCGACATGAGGATGCGGGAGTGCAACAATGCGAAGACAAGCGTGCAAAGACGCGCAAAGGTCTGTCTGCTGAATATGTGCATGGACCTTTCCGCGAAAGGAGCGACTTTGTCAGCCACATCTACATCCAATCCCTCGGAGCAGGTTTTCTTGTCTACCGGTCTACCGGTGGACTTTGAAGCAATGGGGGGGCAGGTAGGAGCAACTGTGCTTTTTAAAGTTGTGTTGATAGTTATACTTTGGATAGGATTCCGTTATGTTTGTGCTCTCTCCCCCCCCACTCCCGCTGCACCCCCCTCCTGTCCCTGCCACCCTTTTTTCTTGTCTGTTCCTTTTGCCTGGTGTTCCCGATTCCCAACATCCTCCTAAGCCCTCCCACCCTTCCTTCCGGCCCCCTGCCTGTCGCCCTCTCCTCTCCCCCTCCTCCCCGACTCCAGCCAAGAGACACATGTCGCAGATTTGTCAGGAACCAAGGAAGTCCAAACACAAACAACAGCAGAAGGACGTTTGGCTATTTGAGCTCCGCCACCGACATACTGATACCCACCGGGATGTAAGCATAATGAAGCCTCATCGAGGATGGTGAACCGAAATCAGCCATGCTGATGATGGCAATGCAACCTTACAGTATTTCCTATCTGACAGATTGCAGGCTGTAAGCTCAACTAACAGCGAGCAGTGCAGTTGTTGACTGGCGAGACCCCACCCCCAGCGGATAAAGAGGTATGCAGCCCCGCCCGCACCTCGCCCCAGATGCAGCGCATTACCTTGGCAGTCATGCAAGACGGGTAAACTACTTTTGAAAACGTCTGTGGACTTGAAAAGTCAGGCTGCCCATTCCTTCTCCCGAAGCAAGGCCTCCAACTGCTTGAGCTCAGCTAGTGCCTGGTGGAGAGGCTGGTGCAGGCAACGAATGCAAGCTCTGGCGGCTCCAACAACACGAAGCCTGAGGATTCGAGATGTGGGGTGCAAGCGCTTTGGCCTCAGATATGAGTGTTGCAACTCAAGCTGCGACCACAGCCTCACTGCCAGCCTGATAGATGAGATCATGCTTCCGTTTTGAGCAGCGGCTAAACACAACTTCATCTTGGGCAGTGACTCGGTTCTGGAGCAGTGGCCCCATGGGCGATTGCACCTCCCGAAAGGCTTTCTAATTCCGCCTCGCCTCGCTGTCTCGTGTCGAAACCTCGAGGTCAATGTTGTTGTACTCCTCGGCTCGCAAAAACTCTGACTCAGATGCTCTAGGCCTAGATTTTCACGGCTGAGGTGCGAAAAGCCCCAGCACTTCAGCGAAGAAGTTCGGCCTTAGCCGCAGCGTTGGAGGTCTGCTTTTGGCTGGCGGAGATCTCAGAAGCCAACCCAGTCGCAAAGAGCGCTCCAACCTGCAGATCTCCGCGCAGTCAGGTGGCTTTTCTTGCACATGAAGCCACAGTACTTTATAGCTTGGCTGCAGCTCGGAGTGCTCTGACTTCGCATGCGCATGTCTTGAATCACGGTCCGAATGCCGATCCAGATCCTTTAGATGTATTGATGCACACAGACTGGTAGGTCTGACTCTATAGTAGCAGGGCTCTGAAAAGGCTCCAGAGGCTGAACCAAAAGCCGTTTCGAGCGGTCATACATGCTGACGCAAGATATGCTGTTCGAGGCGAGGAGATCCGAGAATAGGAGAAGACGGCCTGACAAGGTTTGCAGCAAATAAGTGCACTAGCTCCCCGCATGCGCTCCGTTTTCCTGCCACCCCCTAAACAGCCACAGCACAAAACACACATGCGCTCACGCACAGACTCCGACCGCTGGGTACTCGTACGTTGTACAAGTTTGAGCTGCCGAAAAGGCTTGAACGAGACACTTTAGACAAAGACGCCCTGAAAAAAGCGAGAGAGAAGAGTTCAAGCAAACATCAGGATATTGAATATATGCGGAGGAGAAAAGGGCAGCCTTCTCAGTGAGGCTACCCAGTATAGTGGCCTTTATTTGTGATGTCATGGGGCAAGAGAGGAAGTTGGCTCGGCTGGGCCGCTGAACACCGGGGCCTCATTTGGGGCGTGCGGCTCCAGGGCAGCCCGGAGCAGAGCCGCGGCTTCGCTCACGAGGCCGTCCGCGTGGGCCTCACTGTAGAGAGCAGCAGCAGTCTGCAGGCAGAGTCTGGACCGGAAGCTTAAGCAAAACTCATAAGTTATAGGCCTCTGTCTCTAGCCGTGCCTTTGGATGCTAACTAGGGGATTCTTTGCTGTATTGGAGTACTGCACAACTTTCGACCACATATAAAAACAAGAAAGAGGCGTATAATTGAACTGGAGCGAGCGACGTAGAACTCTGTGTCCTTGGAGCGGCCAGGAGGTGGTCTGCACCTCGTGGAAGCAGCGCTTTTTCTACTGAAGCTATAGGTGACTCCAGCGGCTTAAAAGATCTTCGTGGTTTCGAGGCGGGAACGCTTCCCGAAAGGGCGCATGGCCTGAAGTAGCAGTCGTTTCAATCGAGAGTTTGTTTTCTGAAACTTGAGGCTCTGACAGAAGCACAAGAGCTCCTGCATCAGGCCTTGCATCACCTCCCGGTTAGATCGCCCCGTGACGAGCTGTATACACTGCGCAGCTCGACGACCTCCGCTCCACCACCCGCTGCTTTGGCGCGGTTGATGAGGAAGGCGAAGACCTGCTGGGCTGGGCGTGGGACCTTCAAACCGAGCCCTGCCGAATAACAGAAATTTGGCGATTAAATAGGCAGGGCTGAAACCGCCTGCGCAGCCAAGAGCAGGGTGTCAGCATGCTCGAGGGCGTGGTACTTGAAGCGAAGAAGCGGGTGGTCCTTCGGATTCAGAGCAATCATGAGGAGGCTCGTGCAGGGGCCAATGCGGACTCCTCCGTCGTCAAAGGACCGACCTCATTCACACTGCCATTTGTGCATGTGTACTTGCCAAATGCCACGGAATGCAAGCGCTCTTTCTTCTGCAGGGCTGGGCAAAAAAACCCGATACTCGGGCAGGCCCTCTGTTGGCTGTTCGCTTCGCTCAAGACCGCTCTCTGTCTCTGTTCTGTTCTGTTCTCCGGGGCTTGAGGTGCGTGTCAAGCACCCGCGCCGGATGGTGCACCCCTGTATTAGGGGCCTTGTGGGGGCCTTCAAGAAGATATGGATGCTCGGTTTCCGGTAAAAGATATGGCTCTCTGTCTCTCTCTCTCTCTCTCTCTCTCTCCCTCCAGGGCATGGGGATGGGTCAGCATCCCCGGGCGCCAGGCCCACCCCAACGTTGTGTTGGGCCACGGGGAGTGAAAGTCGAGCATAGCTGATCGATGGGCTAAAGCCATAAAGAATACGACAATGAAGACACGAACAGCGTATGCTCTCAGCAGAAACATGCACTAGGATGCCAGCTTTGCCTTTTTGCAAACACGAAATGTGAGTCTCTCTCTCTCTCTCTCTCTCTAGCGGGACAGGAGAGGGCGGCGGTCCAGCCCCCCTTCTCCGCACGCGCACGTGCACCCGCGGTTCACTGGCGTCTTGGTCTTCCAAAGGCTGTGCCCTATGAAAGCTCGGCTATACACCGCTCTCTCTCTCTCTCTTACGTGTGCGTGTGTGTGTGTGTGTGTGTTTGCTTGTGTGCTTCGAGCCTTGAGCTTTCGGTGGTAAGACATGACATAGAAGGGAAGGTATGGAATCACGTATCATGATGACTGCAGTGATGGTACCAGGCGCGGGACGCAAAGCAGGTTGTGAGAGTGCTGGAAGTGCATGTCTCTGCAGGCCTGGCGGCTTCGGATGGGCGACGTCTGATTCACTGCACTTCGAATTCACTCCTCGGAGCAGTAGAGTTCACCACAGCCTGCCGCAGCAGCGAAGGCAGCTACTTGCTTTGAAGGCATTGATCACGGCTCTGACCTTGCTTGCATCGCACCACAGCCGCTTGTCCTTCTCCACAACTCTCCTTGCAGCAGCAGAGGAACTGCACTAACTGCGCACTGCCTAAGAACAGACCGGCCGAGGGCTCCTGCCACCTGGAGGGCAAATCCCCCAGGGCTGTCAGCAAAGGCGCGAAGCGGCTCTCGCCGAAGAGCACCTGGACCGGATAGCACCGGATAGCACCACATCCTTGCGCATAGGGAGGGGGAGCGGGTTTGCCTCCAGCTGCAAAGGAACAGAGGGCACGAAGCCACAGCAGCGCGCACAAGCGGCGACCTGTCTGAAGCACGTTCGGATGCCTGCGCGAAGTGTGCGAGGTGCAAACTCGAGGGTGAGGCCACGCGACGGTTGCCGGAATGCTGCATAGCAAAAAGAGGCTCCTGATCCGCAAGACTCGCAAGACAAGGCTTAAATCAGCTGCACGTCGTTTCTAGGTGCTCCTCCGTGAACATGTCGGTGTAGGCGGAGCAGCTGGAACAGGCAAAGAGGCCGAAGCCTTTGGGAGGAGCCGCGGCGCGCACCTCTCCCAAGACACACACTTCATGGGGGATTCTCTGGCGGTCACCGGCCTCGCAGCCGGCAGGACAAGGGCCTCCCGGCCCACCAGACGGCACCGCCACCACCATCACGGCGAGTGTCTGTCTGGTTCACAGCTTGGGAGGTGAACGGTGAACTCTTGATATGTACGCTGGAGCCGCTGGCCTGTAGGCAAGTCTTACGTCTGCATCACCATGGCAAGGCTTCGACCCTCGCAGCGCATGGCCGCAGATCTATGTACAGGCTTGTGTTTGCTGAAGTTCAGACATCTGCTGCCGCAGGCCCAAGCTTTGACGCTGAAAGCAGGCGTGCCCGCACGAGAACTGAAGGTGCTGCTGGAATCATGAGGATGCTTGGTGGTTGGGAAAGACTGGCAAGCTCAGCCAAATGTTTGCGCTGGCTTGGCTTTCAAAGGAATGCTTACGCGAGGATCAGGGACTTGCAGACTTGGCGTAGCTTCTCGCGCCTGAGGACCAGGGCTGCAGACAGACCGAACCTCAAAGCGAAGCATGAGAGACCGGGGACGGGCTTTGTTTAAGTTCATCCAACAGTTTTCAGCACGGCACGTGGCCAGGCAGGCCGCGCCGCTCAAGGTCACGCTGGTCCTCGATGTTGGCCTGCCAGGGGGCGAGAACCATTGGCATCCTTTCTCACTGTTCCCCAAAAGGCTTCTTGCAAACAGCGCCCCACCTCGAGGGTCAGTTGACGTCACAACAGAAAGCTTCAAACGACCAATTTTCAATGGCATACAACACCATATAGCAACAGCATTGCTATGATTCATGTACTATGCCATGGCGTAGAATTATACAAGCATTTGTCGAAATCAAACGCTTCACGGTGTATACTATGATGCAACAACCGGTAGTGTACCCCAACTCTCTGCTGGCGTGCCCGTATCTTCAGACTCACTGGCTTTTATAAGCGGCCGCTATTCAAATCTAAAACGATATAGGAGGGGACTGTAGAGTCGGAGGTAGCGACTGTTCAGCAGGAGTATACCTAGGAGCGAATCTCACGGAGCAAACCCTGAGAGGAAAGCATCCACCAGCATTTGGGCTCTCACTTAACTGCAAGACTATTGAAATACATCCGCCAGAAAGCCTTGTGCCTGGCCTTGGGCTTGGTGGATTCGAGAACGTTCACGCATCCTAGTTCTTGAAGATAGCGCAAGAGTCTTGAAACAAAGCAACCGGCCTTGCCACTGCAGTCGTGTGATATCTTCATTATTCTTCATTCCAACATCGGAACCAGTACGTCGTTCCCGCCGGTCGGAGGGAGCTGGGCACACACAACCGTGGCTGCCAGTTCAAGGGGAACTTGCTGCTGGTCCGGAAGAGGTGCATGGAGTGACGCCAAATCCTTTCTTTCGGATTCAAGGCGCTGAACACCCTGAACACACTCTTCATACAAGCAACAACGAAGGGCTCGTCGAGTTGCACGCTTTCAAGTGTTGCGCCCTTCGTGCGGCTTCAGCCGGATGGACACCGCGTCGCGGACACCAGTCTCCGAAGCCATCAAGCAATCTTTCGCATGCGCGGCAGTGAGCTCGGAGGGTCTCAGTAAACTGTAAAATCACATCACAAGCAGAAGCTGCAACAAAAATGCGGCACAACATCTATCGCCCTCTCCCTCTCTCTATATGACATATGGAAAAACTGTAGATAAGCTTACATATAGGAAATATGCACGTGTACATATATATATGTTATGCACCAGGGCTCGAGAACACCTTAGCCGAAGGATCGCTTGTAGCCCCAGTGTGCAAGGGCACACGCGTGGAGTGAGCCATTGGCCTCCATCCTGCCAGCCCGAGCTGGCACCGCAGGCAGCGGAAGCAACGCTCGACTGCCCGTCGGCGTATCCGCAAGGCTAAACTTAGCCAACAAGGGCTCAGCTGGAAAGACGTCGTGCGGGTATACGACCACCACGCAGCCCCGCCTTTTGTTCTTTCGTCAATGGGCCGTGGACGGAAATGGGACGAGCCGCAGTACTCGCCGCGATCCTGGCGCATCTGGCAGGGTGCGCGGCAGCACCAGACAAAAGGGGATGGGAAGGGGCAGAGCAAGACCTCTGCATTCCCAGCCTACGATGCCAACCGTGGCGGCCAGAGCAACCGACCTCGAGGTGGATGGACCCACACGAGGGACCAAGGAGAAGCTGCAGAAGATGGTGGCCTCACCCAAGTCCTTCAGACCTCCTTGAACGGGACAAGGAAAGCCGAACAACGGGTTCAGACTCTAACAGCAGCCCTGAACCGCCGCTCCGAGCTTTGGGTTGTATACGAGAAGGACTTGGAAACTGCCTACAAGAGAGAACACTCTCGCTTTCAAAAAGATATGGCGAAGCTGAGGGAGGACCTACAGAAGGCTACCGCTGCTCAAGAAGAGTCGAGGGCAGAGCTTATGAGGGTCTTCTACCAGCGCCCGGCAGTTGCTGGACCGGCGGACGATGTGAATATGGGCAGCATTTTCCAGGCCTGGCGGCACAGCGACGATCACGATGCCGATTCGGTCCTGCAGCGTGCCGCCAGGGCGGTCGGAATGGTTGGTGCCAATCCCGGCCAGACTGCCTCCATTGGTGGGGCTTGGACAGCTCCGATTGCTGGAGTTGGTGGCCCTCCTCCAGGCTTTGGTACGATGCCAGATATGGAGCCACCCGGCATTGCGGTCCCTTTGGGGTCCGCTTCGGCTGCGGATCCCAACCACCATCCTGGAGGACCTACTGGCGACTACCATGGACCGCCTACCAACGACCCATACATGATGAGCCCAGGGGCTTCTCGAGGACCCGCGACATCCGTTTCTCCCGCCTCTATGTACCGGGCGCCGGATGGTACGCGATTGTCTGTGAAGACCCGACCTCCTATGGCAGCGCCATCGTTGGGTGGAACATCTTTGGGCAGCAAGCTGGACGCAAGGCGTGTTGCATTGGCCCCCTTTGGGCTGGCGAACGCACCGGGTTGCGCCAATTCCTCAACCGGGGTGCTGCCCTCCGGCCCGACCGAAGTGCCTCAGACCTCAACTATGTTGCCAGCAGGCCCGGATCGCGTGGTCCCCAACGAGCCTTTCCTCACGGACGCCGAGATCCATGCGAGAATGATGTCCTTCGCAGGGACCGTCGACTTGGATACGCAAGACGACCCAGAAGTGTAACGGTCCCTACAGGCGTGGGTAAAGGGTCGGGATGCTGTGAGCCACACCGCCCGGGGGGCCCGGACTCCTTGACTTCTGCTGGGAAGAAGTCAGGAGGACAGCCGCGCCTCAGGCAAGGTGGGCTTCGCAGTACATCCCCGCTCCATACTCCCGCCTGTTTGGCTATCAGTGAGTGCGGACGTGTACAGCCAGTGAAGTCTGTACAGGGGTTTTGTAGGTTGCTGCAGAGGTACGGGGTTCCCACACTCTTGCTTTCCAGGCAAGGTTCTTTCCCCCGGTTTTGGTGCAAGCCCTGGATTTGGGCACTCCGCGACCTTTGTGTGCGGGCTCCTGCCCTGTCAGCAGTTGGCCGCAGTTTTTTCGCCAGCGGGATTCGTAGCTCGGGCAGCTCTTTTTCAAGTTATCCCGCCCAATACCGGGCAATGCTCATCTTGGTGCCTAACAAACGTATCGGTGGCTCAGGGACGTTGACCAAGATGAGTGTCGTTCATGGGGTTTGCAATTCCGGTTTGGGCAGCCCTTATTGTGTGGCTGGCGCGGGCTTCATCCCCTCGCAAATACTCGAGGCCCCATTCTGCCCTTTCGTTGATGCGCAGCCTACTGCCATCTAAATGGCCATTTTCTTAGCGGTTGGGGTTATGCACTCTTTTCTTGCCCTTCCGACTTTTGCCGAGGAGCGTGGCAACTGCATGCCCCTCCCAGTGGAACACTTCTGGTGCCTAACAGACGTATCGGTGGCTCAGGGACGTCGACCAGAAGTGCCCACTCTTCCACAGCAATAGGCCAGATCCTTGCAGTCTGGGGCTCTGTTCTTTGGACTGTCATCGCAGGGTGTTGCTATTGGTTAAGCACTAGCCTGCAGCCCGTGCGACAAGGCCCACTATCTTTCCGTGCAATGGAGGCTTTAAGGGTGCTCGCTTCTTATGTGCGATCGGCTGCATTGCTCTGCAGCCCGGGCAGACCTTCCGAAGGTGATGTTGGTAACATGCAAGGTAAAGGCTTGCCCAACCCTGTCAGGTACTTTCCAGGAGGCAGGGGCCTTGTCTTAGGCGCCTATGTCTCCCTATCAAGCCTATACCACCTTGCCGTGCAGGACGCAGCAGTCCCCTTGCTTCCATGGGTTGAGCAACAGGCTATCTCTGTTGGGGTAGTTTGGGCTGCTATTCTTTTTACGTCCTTGTTATGCGTCCTTCTCCGACAGATGGGTTTTACCGCTTCACCCCTGGGTAAGGGCTGCTTGCTCTGCCTTGCTGATGCTCCCTGCCATGCTTGCAGGGGAATGATTGCCGGAATCAGGGGCTACGCCACTCTTTCTGATAATCTCGGGGCAGGCCGTTCCGAGCGCCGCCCCGCTCACAAGCATGAGTTTGCGCGTGTACCCTCTGGGCCTGGCCCTGGCTTTAGCCGATGGATCCTCCGCATGCTCTCAGTGCCCATAGCGTGTTCCTCAGGAGGGCTCGGCATGCCACTTTGGGCAGTGGCATCTTTTCTCCCGTGTGCTGTTGCCATGAACGACAATCCATTGCAGGACAGACCGACGCCTGGTCAGCCCCGGAGGCCTCATGATATACCAGCCGAAGAGCTGGTCCAGCACGTAGGCCCCGCGGTTGTGGTTCCCAGCCACGCCCCTTTAAGGCTTCCTTTTGCGGGTGATGAGGCACCGTGGCTCCTTATCTACCCTGGTCCTCGAGAACCCCCGATAAACCCAGGTGGCAATAGCGATGAAGGTGTTACGGTTTGGCTCGGTGTGAATGTTTATACACCTCACGTAAGGACTGTCTCAGTTGCTGTTAGGGGGCTCCGCCATTCCCCCCTGCAGCACTATCTTGATGTCGTCAAGGATGCAGCCCCAGGAGTAGATGCCTTTGCGTACGACGTTTGCGTCCCCCTCAGGCCTCAAAGGTTTGACACATATTGTGAATTTCTACGATTCC